GCAATCCGACTTTCTCAGCAAGCAACGTCCTATCTCTCGCTTCTCTTGTCTTCCATCTGTCTTTCTCCAAACTCCGCCGCCATGACCGGCCGCACGGAGGGCTGATCGACTGGGGATCATCCAACGGCGGAGACGTAAATCCCCTCCACTGAGATCCTATTGCAACCCCTCGGAAACCTGAAAGGAGGCATACTACGTAGATCCATCTCTGTCTGACATTTAAATGCGGATATTCCTTCTTCTTGCCACCACTCTTCAAACAGGGACATAAGCTTGAGGCTGCAGCTACAGCTACGATTGCCCCTGCTCAGTAGCGTGTTACCTCACCCCCAGTCTCCTCCAGCCCGCACGATAGCCCATCGCTTCGAGTTGGCCCCAGCAAACTCCACCCGGGTACTAAACAATTGAGGAAGCACTCATACACACCGACTTTACAACACTCCAACCTCTGGTGACCCCTCGAAATGGGCACCACAGCTTTTAATCACGCCATATATACCACCCCAAACCGGCAGGGTCTTCTCAAGGGATGTATGCCGCGTAGGAGTGATCCCAAGGGGATGGAAAGACAGGCAAAACGGCCACACCAGCGTTTTAGACCCGGAAAAGGTCGGACGTTGGTCTCGTCGGATGGAAGAAGAGTCGACACCGCCCACCGCCCAAAAAGGTCAGCACGCTTGATAGCCAAAGGAACGGTTGTGGCCGGTGGAGATCAGCACTCCAGCAAACTAGGCCGCTTTCCATCGCCAACTGCTCCCTTGTCCCTCCTGATTCTCTCTGTTACCCCGAACCCTGGCTCGTGCGAGACGCTATTTCTTCACTGGCGCGATATTTCGTCGCCCCGTGTACCGGGGAAACGTGTAGTGAGACCCATGATGCACCCCAGCAAGCCCAAAGTTCCTTAACCTGCCCACAGGCCCATAAACCTCGTTCGTGGGCACGGCTGTAGCGATACGCAACGAAGACATCACGAGATGTAGGTTGTGACCCGGATTTCGAATTCGGTCCAACTTTAAGTCGTGCGAGGGAGAACAAAAGAAGGGAGAAAAGAGAAACGCACGGATAGCGGGAGCCTATCTTACATATTTCCTACTAATGGGCTTGGGGAGGCCTACCTAGTTCCTTTGGCGCCGTGCGACAGGAAGCCCAAAAGTCAATTGAAAGGCGTGGCTTTCGCCGACGCCACCCCCTTGCCACGTCAAAACCATGGGGGCCAAACTTTATCACCGTTGCAACCATGGGCATCCTCTTTTCTGGCGCGGTTTTATATTTGTATTCAATGTCAAGCTGGTGGTGTCCTCGGTGTAGCAGCATCGGCGTTCACACAGCGGCGACCAGGACGATGGCAGCAGGGAGCCAGATAGATGGAGCGAGCACGTCGTTCTGGGATCGCTTCGCTGCCGGAGTTTGTTCTTCTTCTTCACAATCTCCGCCTCCGTTTTTCCTTCAGACAGGTTTCGTCGCCAAGCGACCCAGGGGGAACCCACCCCCTAAGTACGGCAAACGCATGGAACATTCCTTGGAGGAAACAGAAGTCCCTAGCTTGAGCGGCCGGGTACGAGGATAAGTTCGTGCGTATGCGCCGTCGCGCACCGGTAGTGGCTAGGAAGGAAAGAAGAACATTAAGAAAGAAAGAGGAGAGCATCCGTGCTTTAACAACGCGCGCCGTCGTGTCTACCCTCCTCCCTTAGCTCCATAGGGAAGTTGAAGGTCCAAACTGACGCCGCCGAAGTTATGGAACCGCCCTCGGACTAAGGTGTGGGTATTTGGTCCGTAGGCAGTTCAGTATTTAGTTTTATCTAACCACTTTTACTAGGAGGTACCAAAAAAGAAAAAAGGGAGGGGAAAAAAAGAGCACAGTTAGCTCAGCCCAAATACACTCACGCACATCACTAAGTGCACTCTCTGGAAATTGTGATAGCTTAAGAAGATAGTAAGCAGTCAAGATAATAAAAAGAAAGATAAGTAGGGATGCAGGTTAGAATCAGAGTCAAATAGGGCTAGTAGGGCTAGCGTTAGACCGAGGAATGTATTTCAAGGGCTCTGAATGGTACAGATAAACTACCGTATCCACTGGCTAAATACAGCTTTGGCTAGTGTATAGACTAGTCAGAAAAGGTATCGCGGACGCCGAATAAGGACTGGCGTGCTGGCAGAAACATGGATCTGCTGGTGGCAAAAGCAGGAGCCATGCATTACGTCAGCAGGAAGTTTGGGTACAAAACTAGCTGGCTAGGCAGGTTGATAGATTGACCGCCTTCGATTACAGGCTTAGTGCTCTGAAAGGCCGCGATACCTCCTCTGGTTAGATCATGCCCTAGCCAAAGCTGCATTTAGCCAGTGGATACGGTATTTAAGAGAAGTGTGAGCCCGTCCGCTCTGCTTCCCGAGGCGACCTCAGTGAATGAGGAAATCGGGAAGAGTGAACAGGAGACAAAACGAACCTAGGTGTGCTATTCGGACATGGTCAGGGATTGTCGAGGGATCGGCGGGCTCCGTCCGTCCGAAGGTGACCGACCGCCTTGACCGACACCGACATACCTACGTAGTACGGATAGAGTCTAGTAGTTTACATCTTTGAACCCCGGTTCGCCATATGTCTTTGTCGGCAACGCATGAGATCGGGCATAAGTGGCGGCTGCCAGAGGCGGAGGAGACTGAGATACGTAGCCAAGGCGTCCCGTTCCCGGTGAGGTGGCACAGGTACACAGTCACAGTATTGTAGAACGCCAGAGGAGGCGCCAACAAGGAAATATAGCCAGCACCTATAGTGCGCCCCAGTCGTCCAGGGCAAAAAAAGACTGCTAAGACATGCCCTCGGCTGAATTGACTCTGATTGGTGCGTAAACACGACCATAATCCACCACCTTTTATAATTTGTCCGCGATTCCACCTCGCTACCTTGCATACACTACGGAGTACGTAGTATGACATCGTAACACCAACTGTCGGGCTTGGGGGGGATCTGGGTGGGCGGTATCTATACCACCTACGTACCCATGGGACCTGCCGGTTTGGTTGCGTCGTGACAGCCTTCGGCACATCCCCCTTCCCCTCGTCGCCCGGATGTACATGCACCCCACGAACCAACTCACCCTGTTCCTCAACAGATTCATTTGGTAACTTCCCTCTTGGGCGTATGAGCCACCCCCATTGGGCTGTGTTGCGCTGAACTTCCTTCTGGAAAAGGGAGCTACGCTGCGGCATTCGTGGCCTAATCTGCATCACTGTTGTCTTGACATTCTTCATTGCACTGGATTCCAGTACTTGTGTACGCGCAGGACGTGTCAAACCCCCCCCCCCCCAACGGGGGGAAGGGGGTGTAAGGGGTAACAAGGGATGCATGTAGCTTATACGGCGAGTGGCTCTTGTGCGACCTTCCGCCTCGGACAGAATATACCTCCAGTCGGTGTGATGTCGGTATGGTCGGCGGCGATGAGGAAGACGATGCTGTGGTTCCGTCAAGCCACTTACACGCGACTGCATGGCTTCCATTGTTTGCCTTCCCTTCTTGTCGCCCGTGGACGACCTTCCATGTGTGTAGTATGCCGTGCGCCGCAGCTGGCCTTCTCGCCCAACAGATGCATTCGCTTGCGGAATTCCCGATGCAATGACGCATCGACATCGATATCAAGTGTCTGTCTGACCTTTCACAAGGGCGTCCCGCATCCACGGCGACGCAAGTGCGCTTGGGCCGCCATGGGAGAGGCATACCCGCCGGTTCCGCAGATCAGACGGGCGCTTCCCCTCAATCGATCTTGCTTCGCACAGGCCTGTTTATCTTTTCTTTCCCCCCCTTCCTTCACTCGCCGTTGCAAACGCCTCCAACGTTCAACCTCGATCACGGAAAGGATAGCCATCCCTTTTTCGCGCAGGTCGTCGGAGCGAGATGTAGCGCCACAATGTAACGTCGAGGCAAGTTTTGATGTCGTCCGCAATACAAGGGAACGGCGGGAAAAAGTTGGTCAGGCGTACGCTCGCGCCATACCGGCAAGACCAAGCTCTTCCGTTGCCTTGGACGTAACAATCAATAATTTGCCGATCTTCATACCGGCACACGAGGTCTCTCAGTTCCTTTCCCGAGCCGATCGGGTTTATCTTTGTGTCTCCATCAATATCATGCATTGACGAGCAGGTCGGCTGTCACGGTAGTGGTGGCCAGGATGCATGGTCCATGCCTAAGTCGCTGAAACTGGTCAACCAACATGGAGTGGCAACGAATGTACGCTTCCTCGAACACCATTTGGACATTGACACATCGCACAGAGACAAATGGGTTTTGAGCACGTCTGGATGTTAAAGTCATTCAATGAGGTCTAGTGTATATGCGTTCTGCGGACCATCATGGCTGCTCGGACAATCCGACTCGCCAATGCTACCCAGCAATAGCCAACCTCTACTCAGCATGCGATTTTGGTAGTGGATGTGTGTGAGAGAATCAACCGACCGTCTCCTTCCGCCCGCACAGCCCTACTCGGAGTTTTGCCGTGGGTTTGCAAGAGTCATGAACTACCGGTATCAGTCGATCCCGCCACCCACCCCCGTTTCCCGACTTCCACAGGTGGAGAAAGGCCCATGACTGGCCCCTAACCACTGATATCCCGTCAGGCGAGCAAGACCCCTTTCGTCGCCTTTGTTCCAGGTCGCGGTTGATGGTTGGATGAATGTGGTACCTGTAGATCTATTTCCCCAGGGAAAGCTTCGAAAGGGTCAGGGTTGAGATATTGGTCTGCCACGGCACGAGAATCGATAGAATGCTACCTGCCAAGATAGCAATGCTTTCTAGTTCAACTTGGCGCAAAGGGTCGAACTTTTTTTTTTTTTTTAAAGGACAAGCCCCCCCCCGTGACGTGCAACCCGATGAGCGGATGATTTATCCGACAATCGGCCAAATGAATGCCGCCATTATTCAGGGAACCATGGATCTTGATATTGGTATCCGTATTCGATGACCAATACTGAGATAACGCCCGGTACCCGGGCAAATAATTGTTTACCAATCAGACACAAGTCTCAAGCATCTTGTCGAGCACCCCCTTTAGGGTATCGTTCTCCAGCGCAGCGGCGACGCGCTCCTTGTCGCTGAGTTGCTTGTTGACCTGGTCATCCTGGGCGTGCGCGTTCTCCTTGACTCTGACGTCCACGCGCCAGTTAGGAGGCAATGCCTTCTCCAGGCGCACGCGAACGCCGAGGCCGAGCACGGTGGCGAGGGAGCAGTGTGAGACGGTCGGCGTCAATTCAACCAAAACCCGAACCAGCCTGTTGGGGTCCATGGCGCCCGCCTGGGGAGGAGGGCTGATGTGGATGTCAGGCAAATTAACGACGGCCAGCTGCCCCAGGGAGAGGGGGTGCTCTGGATCAGAGATTGTTGATATCAAGTCTATGAAACGTTAGTTGTGTGATCCTCTTGGGGGGCTGATATTGACAGGGAATGCGCAGCGACCACGAGTTGGACCGGAAGAATGACACACTTTGGGGTGCTGAGTGAGAAGACAACGCCGTGACGATGACCTTCTTACACACATCCATCAAGCAGGTAGATGCCAATGCCATGATGCATGGGTACCAGAAAACGGCTGGCTCTACGTGGTCGACAGGCGAGGGAGTGGCGCTTGCCTTGCTTTGCTCCCTCAGATGATAGGCGTATGACAGACAAGGCTGTGAACCACAACGTGACTCAACGATGTTCCTCCAGGAGCGCAACGATGCAATGGAACGGATGGCAGGTGCAAGGAAACGGGGAGGCCTCACCATAGATTTCTTGCTCGTCGATGGGTTCAGGAGCCCACTTGTCAAGCTCGGTGTCGGCGTCAGACCATAGCGATTCATCGTCGCAGAAGGGCTGACTGAGGTACCAGGGCTTGGCGTAAATGATGTCGTCAAACATGTGCTCGGGGCCGGTCTTGGGCGCCGTGCGCTTGTTCTGACGTGTCGGCAGCTGAGCCGCGCTCAGAATGGTCGGGTTCGCGTTGTCAAGATCTTTGTCCATGGCGTCAAGCGACAAGAATGTTCCGGTGATATCTTTTGCCTGGAGGTGGGGGGGGGGAATGACCAAGTCGGTGGCTTCTGTCGCCACCCCGGCAAGCGCAATCAACTGCGATCCCCAAATGTTCTCCGCTGCGATCTCGGTGTACGTTTCGGGCTGCCACAAAAGTCCCAATATGTGACAGGATTAAGAGGGGGAAAAAAAGACCAGCCCGACAAAGAAACCGAGGTAGCCTTGTCGAAGGTACCTTTCTTTCCGTCCTGCCCCCCTGCTCTTCGGTAGCGACGGATGGAACTCTGGGATGATGTTAATCGGTGGCCTCTCGTCGCTTGTGGCTCGAAATACGAAGATGCCGTTTTTCGACTTTCCTTGCCACTCACTCTTAGTATGGGTTTCTTTCTTGAGTGACGTACTTGTTTGTTGGTGGATGGCTTGTGGATGGGAAAGAAATGACCGGCCGTGAGGGAATCAATATTTTTGGTCAAGTGGCCCCATACAACCCCGCAACGGACGGGGATTATATAAGCTATCGCGCCTTCAGTGGTACAATGCATGAATCGCCAATTTTATCATGAGGAAAGCACCCTCCAATATTGCTCCTCACTTTCCAGAATTGGTCGTCGAATGTATGGGCCGCACTCCTCCCGCCCCCGTGTCGTCAGCGATCCACCAAAAAAGGGTTATCGATGATCCTCCAATAAATTCAGAATAACCTCTTGGTGGAACAAGACAGTAAGTGAGGACGAATGATGTCTGTTTTCATCCCACCCACCCCCTTTCAAACCCTTCCGAAGGACCCTCTGCTGTAAAGACACCCCCATAGACACCCTAGGCCCCGCGGATGTGCCCTGGTGGACTTGTATGTTCCTGCATGCCATCTGTAATGACAGCCTGCCTGGAGGACGGTGAATCTTCCATTTTCCGCACCGCCCTTCCACCCCCATGTTACCACACCTTCGGACGAATGCTCACTCTGGAGCGAAGATCGTCTCAGGCGCCTGGCCTTTTCGTGGTAGCAGCAGCGTAAGGCTGATTACGCGTAGGTAGACCCTGGCCTAGAGGGGGGGGAGAAGAACCAACCTGCAAGGGGAGATGTTAAAGGTTAAATTACTCTTTCGCATCTCCAGCCCAGTCCGATGGACTGCGCGCGGCTTGAGCAGTCCCATTGTGACTTCATACCCTTCTCATCTCTTTTTCGGACGGGTCTAATGAAGACTAATGCCCAAGGTCACGTTGGGCCGTTCCATTGGTAAAATGCGCCGTTCGCGTGGTCGCGAACCCATGGCCTCGGTCGCCTGTCGTTCGGAGGATCAATCTACTTTGACTCACAAGGCGGACTTTTAATGGTGTGTGTGTTCCGTACTGATTAGGTGGTTTTGTGAGATATGGCGTTCCGCAGCACGCACTGCCTTCTCTCGTTGTTCTCGAAGCTTGCCAGAAGCATGACGGAAGCATTAGAACAAGATGAGACGCGATTTCGCAACGCCACAACCCTGGTCGGCAAGCCTTACAGAAGCGCTTCATCGAAGCTCCGCTCACACCACTCACAATTCCAACCACGCTTTCGTACCTTTTGGCAGCTGTCGTGGGGAATCACCCGTCCCAATCCGCAGGGAGTCCGCAGAGAGAGAGAGAGAGTGTGTGTGTGTTATTTGCCGTTGTGCTGTCATGTTACTCAAGCCATCTGCCCCGGAATATCTCCTCTTATTGGGGCGGTTACTAGATACCGATGTTCTTGTCGCAACTGGGTCGGGCGTTGAATCTTGTGAAGGACTCAGCGGTATACAGTGTATGATTGTGCTCGGATGAATTCTTTGAAGCTTCCCCAGAGTGGACGGACGGGATTGGCCTTCCAGGTGCCGTAACCGTTACAGTCGGCCGAGTCATCCGTTGTCCCCTCCGCGCCGCACATACGGCACGTGCCTAGGTAGGTATATGGCAATATTCGTGGTGAGCTTGATAATGTCCACCTTCCTCATTATCCAACGGGCACTCGGCCAATCTTTTTGTCGCTGTCTTCGCCGCCACCATCATCAGCTCTCTGCATTGTTGAATCGCCACATTGTCGGCAAGTGTTCCATATGCGACTCACGAACACCACTACCACATGCTGACTGAACATGGGTCAGCAGCACCTTAGTGGACATCGGGCTTTGCAACTGGATATCCATTCGGACCGTTCTATCTGTGAACACGCCCTGCCGTGTCGCCATAAAATACCTCCACTTTGGCCCCCTACCCTTGTCCATTCAGCCACGCTCATCCGAGATCTTGGGGGCGGAGAGCAGGAGCCCCCCCTGAACGAACGATTTCAAGAACAGATTGTGCGAAAAGGAACAACCAGACGTGATAGATGCTCGCTCTCAGGGCTAGGCGCCTGGTTCATTGGCAAGAGTTCGGATCCGAAGCACACACAGCCCAGGATGCAGGGAGGGCGACCGATGAGGCCTGAAACCACCATTGCGCCAGTTCGGTGCATCGAAGCCTCCTTTGATATTCGATAAGGATGCCCAAATACAAGAGGGCCAATGGGTTCGCAGAACGATGAACTATGAACGACGAATTCCTTTCAGATCAAGCTTGGTATGGAGAGGTGGGTGGGCTGATCCTGTGCTGGAGGAGGAGGCTGCGCTGCGCAGTAGATGACAACTTCGACCGGGCAGAACAGGCCATTGCAGGGCTTCAAGGCATGGGTGGTGAGTGTCGGGTTCCTCGGTAGGTTCCATCCCAAAAGCCTGTGATATTGCTGGACCAAGTGGCCACCGCTAAACTTTTTCGCACGTGAATGATGACACTACCTACCAGTTCCTCCTCTCTGTTATTCGGACCAGACCCCCTGCTGACCGTGAGTTCGTGACTGGCCGGTGCTGCTGGTATTTCATTTGCGGCGTCAGGGGTTGCAGGAGTGGTTGCCGCGTGGGATACCGAGAACAATAAGCCTATTACTACCAAACGGCATCACGCCAACTACTCTGCGCCACGAGTGAATATAGCGACATCCAATAATGCGTCTAGCATTCCTTGTAAACCCAGACGCTAGAGGGATGAGTGCAATATACAACATATACCCTGGTCTTGTCATTAGCTGTTTGTGTTTTGTGCTCCGACTCAAAGGGCTGGGCCTACGCCTGGCCTGTTGTTGTAGTTGAGGATGACAGAGCTGGTTGCTCATCGATAAGATATCTGACATTAGCGTAGACTCTGGTACCCTTTAATCCGTCGTGCTCGGATTTGGTTCCCTCAGCCCCGTCTGGTATTGTCGAGCGGTCTACCTGATCGGGTGGTGTAATGCCTTGATACCTAGTACCTCTAAGCGTGTGGATGATAAGATGGGGTGTTTGATAATGAGCGAACACGGGGGAAGTTCTTGGGCGTTTCTTGCCACACCTGACTGGATCCACATCGGAAGGTTCAAAACATCGGACGGATGGCATGCGGAGCAGAACCAGGTGGAGGCTGGCAAGCCCGTAAGTACGTACCTGCAGACTGAAAGGGAGACGCGTGCCTACACTAGCTTGGGCGAGTGCCACTTGGTTTCGCGCCGCCAGGACGGAAAGGCGACAGAGAGGCCTGAACCTTCTTGAAAGGCACAAAACGGTTCGATTAGGTGACAAGAAGGGATGGCTGACCGCCGGGCTCAGGAACCTAACGCAAAGTGTCCAAGTCTCGCCGCACGTAATGCGCATCGATCCATCGACGACGGAGCGGACATGCATGGCAAAGCTGATGATTGAGGAGATTGTTTGATGTAGTAGTAGGCATATCGACCAGGATACTGTTGGTGCAATGTTACATTCCTACGACCTTGGTTATCCACTACCTTGTAGTTTAGTACGGAGTATCTGGGGCGGGTGACGATACGTTCCAACGAGATTTGCACTTGCTTGGCCAGAGCCGTATGCTGTTAATGGGCACAGCCTGTTCCTCGGAACAATGAGGAGATGGGAGATGGAGAATAAGCCTTAACCGTACATACTCTGTAGGTACCTATAGTGCATACATGATTAGTAAGTAGGTACCTGCCTAATTTACTATGTACGTACACTTATGAAGGAACTAGCACACATCAATGGTCCAACGATGGGCCTTCAATATGCCTAGGTACCTAACGCGTACGCGTATTTGTACCATGTACATACTCAGACGGGGGGCTTCCAGAACCAAATCCCAGTAGGGGTGGTGGTCCAGGTCCCATGCGAGCGGCATCCACTGGAAGGCTGATCCTGGCGAAATGGAGCGGTTGGAAGTTGGGCGAAAGTGAGGAGGGGAAAGGGGGGAGTGGACAGGGAACCAAAGCCAGGCGGGGTAAGACACGAGTACCTATCTTGGACGAGCCCGACTTGCTACATGTACGTAGTACACTAGAGGATCAGGCCCGACTGAGGGACGAGGTATGGTGAGTGCTAGTTAGTGTAGCTTGTTGCCACGAGTCGGCGAGGTAAGATGCGTTATCACATCTGAGATGTAGAGCTGCCGAGTACCTAGAGGATGAAGGGTACAGTACGTACCTATATCACAATAACCATATATGGCCCTCTGCGCTGTGTTGTCATTTGTATACCCGGGCCGAGGTAGGTAAGTGTTGTTAGTGTATTCGTGCAATACCATAGAGAGACCTCACGGATATCCGTAAATCCGTAGGGAGTGGGCAAGTACCATGGCTTCGTGTGTGTGTGTGTGTTGTGTGTGTGTGTGTGGCCATTGGCAGGCTTGCAGACCAAATCTGCAGAGTGATGAGATTGGCAGGCTCAGATTCCCAGTCTAGCATTGGAGGCAAGTAATAGCGGCGGGGCTCCTTCTCAATCCTTGGCTCCTTAGTGCCAGTTGTAGTCCTTGTAGCTTGTGATATAGGAAGACAAGCACTATCTTAGTCGGTTGGGGGGAAAAAGAAAACCAGACGGATTAGGGCAGGTGCGAGCCGGCCTGTAATGATAAGGTAAGCGGGTAGTGGAGACAATTGAACCCATATTTCACGCCTGCAGTCAATCCAAAACTGCCTATCTACCTACCTACCTTGGGCTGTGGAAACATAACGTGGTAAACTAGGTAGGTACCTACAGGTAGGTACCGTCTACACTGGTTAAACTGGGATACCGCCAAAAATCGGGCTAACGGCAAAGGGTATAGCGGCCGCTGTGATGAGTATAGCGTGCTGGCAGAAACAGCGATCAGATACTGGCAAAAGTAGGGGCTAGTCACGTACGTCAGCAGGAAGGTTGGGTTCAAGCCTGGCTGGCTGAGTGTGCTGCTTGACCGCCTTCTATAATAGGCTCAACTGATCGGGGGCCGCTATACCGCTTGCCGTTAGCCAGAATTTTAGCGGTATCTCAGTTTAACCAGTGTAGACGGTAGAGTCCCTCATGCACCGCGCCAGAAGCAACATCTCACATACGTCGCGACACAGCAACTGAGGTACCTTACCGCGGTACGGCAGATGCCGTCTCTCCGTACCAATGGATCGTCAGCTTTCACTCAGCCCCATGTCACTGTTGCGCATCCCATCCGACGGGCCCCATGCAAGCTTATGGCACGGCGCAGCACAGTGTTTATTTGGCCTTGGACATGTTCGTACCTTTGACAACGTTGACAGGGCGCTATCACACGAACCGACGTACCTACAGTACAGTACGCATGCTTATTCGTAGCCATCGCGCACTAGCTCGTGCAGCGACACCAGGGACGCCACATGACATTCTGGGCACCGGGGCCTTGTTCGAGCTCTAATTACCTCGGCGCCCACCTGTCAAGAGACATTCCGCCCAAGGCGTGACGGCCGCCTCCTCCCGCTTTGCCTCCGCCGACCGGTCTTCGACCGGCGCTTTCTTCTCCTGGCTGGTACCTCGGCAGACGGGACAACGTCTGCCAAAGGCCATGGTCTTAGGCTAAGGGCGCCTGGGCGGTTAAACTGGACGAACTAGCCCTTGGTCCCAAGATCCGGCTGTAATGGCATGCCTCCATCGCTGTAGAATACCCTGAACAACTCTGTCGGAGAACGTTCCATGTCCTACACTGGCATTAGGAGCTTGCCGTTGCTCTCACGCCCAGCCAAGGGAGTAGACTTCCGAGCAGAGTCTCCGCTAACATATCTGAACATATTTCCTGTACAGCTAAGTAGCCAAGGGGCCTCGTGGCTCTCTCTCCACCTCCCACTCCCCCCGTCGTGGATGCTCATCGTGGACTCCTGGGAGAACCACCTTTGTTGGTGAAACCGTCCACACCAGGTCAGGATAAGATGGGGTGAAACCTCAGGTATCGCCTCCGTATCCGTTCTGCCCTCCTGCTCTCAAACTCTGCCACAGACCTCCAACCGCAACCCACCCGTTGCCCTACGCAGGGGCGCGAGGACGGGTAAGGTACGGCAACAGCCTAATAATGGGAACGGGAACGGATACACACACCTTGTTCTGCCTTGCGCCTTGCCAATGCCAATCCACCTGGCTGGTTTGTTTCCGACCCTACTACTCTGTAAACAGGAGCTCTTTGCAAGGTGGTTGTTATGGAGAGTAGCCAGACATGCATCTCACCTGGCCATTGTCGTCGGGGGTGCTTGCTGCGACAGGCAGGATGGAGACCTTTCAAAAGATACCTTGGCTTCCGTGAGCCAAGCTTCTCCTGGCTCGAGGTACCCGGCATGAGGCCAATATGGGCATCGATACGTGCGACTCTCGAGTGTGTGGAAAACCTCGGCCAGAGGCAATCTATAATGGGAACGCATCCATGATGCGCCATGGAGAACGGAAGTTGGAATTCGATATCAATATCGAATGAGCATGGCCGCTTGTCATGATGACATGGGACATTGGCGAATGTGTGACACCTACACCCACCTCTCTTTCTTTAGTTCCTTGACCCAACTGGCAGTGCTGTCCACCACCGCCATTTCAGCATATCCCCCCTTGCGGCCCCTGGAGTAAAGAAGAACGGACAGGTCCAACTCTTCAGCTGCCGCGCGGGGGGTTACCTGCCATATTCTTCGGCTTGCTATTTCAGACAAGGTACTCTGTACATACCCAAAGGTTATTCGCGCAGTGTGGGCCCCAGCGCTGTATTCGTGACACTGCCCTGCCGTAGCATGACGACTAGGCGAGGCGCCTTTGTTGCGTCCGTTGCAGTATCTCTCATCTGGCCCGGTACGATTTACTGGAGCTGGAGCTGGACCGCTCCTCTTTTTCTCACCCTTCGCGGCCAACCTGACACGATGAGGAGGATTTCCTCACAGCGGCATTGGTCGCCCGCGTATCTGTCAAACCCCCAAACGCCACTGCTTTTTCGCCTCATGAATCCCTTTTTTTATTGTTCTCAATTGACTTTTACTTCCAGCAACAGTCAAGGTAGCTTGCATGCCTCGTGCGCCTACATTTGACAGACGCACTCAGCTGGTCCACTAAGGCCGTGTCCCGGGAATTAGGTGGGTTCTAGATTTCTGACGCCCTTGCCGTGATGCATGTCAATGGCCTTGGCCATACGTCGACTATCACTCCCTGGGTAATCGAACTGCCCTACCGCGACGAAACGAGGTCGACAGACTTACGGCATGCAAATGCGATAGAAGGAGGATGTGGCTCTGAATTGACCGTCCCGCCTTGCCCTGGCTGTGACATCGCTCGAACCTAGCCCACTCCCGCCCGTCTTCTCCGTCTGAACCAAGAAAAGAAACAGAATGTTCCGTCGTCCATCTCTTCTTCTTCTTCTTCTTCTTCTGCTCGGATTGCATTGTCTGTGTGTCTGCCAGTTTCCTCATTGTCATCGCTCTCATGAGCGTAGTCTACCAGAACTACACTACCTAATGTACCGGGGATGCAGGCTCTCACCGGCTTGGTGTGGGTACGCCCTTCCTTGCTTTGCATAGGGAAGCTAATTCTTTTCTCTTGTCCACGCCATTTCCCTCGTGCCGGATCCAATTTCAAAGCAAGTATCGAGCCACGGGCCCGGTAAAGGAGAGTAAAATAGGCAGTACAGCGCAGGTATCTATCGTCGTCGTCGTCCTCACCGCCGTGTCGTCGGTCGTCGAACGTTCGCAACCCCAGGCCCTATCCTTCATCTCTCTACCAGATTCGGCCCGCGACAGGCTTTTGGCCTCTAGACTAGCCATGCTGCCCTGTGCGCTGGCCTGGCTCTGGCTCCGGCTCCGGCGACCCGTCGATTAACGTGAGGCAAGGCGAGGCGGAGGGCCCGGCCTGGGAGGCAAGGCGAGATCCTTACTATACTGCATCCAAATGGAGAAGGGTCTTTGACGCTGCTGTGTTTCGATGCTGTCCTTCCTTGTATCCCGTTCTGCAATGCCACGCTCTATTCCTTGCCCTTTCCCTCTCCCTCTCTCACACCCCCCTATCTCTACTAGGTACCGGTGTTAGTTCTCTTCACCAAGCCTCTCTCCTCTGCCAAGTCCTGAGCGACATTGCCTGGCCTGTGCTGGTATTGATGCAGCTTTTGTCAAGGTTGGCAGACTAGGTATAGATAGTACTTAGCACAGGTACCGTTCCTGGGGTTGCTCCTGCTGCTGTGTGCCTGCGCTGCCGCTCACGTTGTCGCCGCATTGCGCGACCTCCCACCCTCCACTCCAAACCTTCGCCCACTCCCGCATCCACCTGGATATTCACACCCGCCTGCCCGCCCACCCCTCCTCTCTCTAGGTACACACACGCATAGAGGTGCGCTCACTGCCCTGCCCCCTCTGTCTCTTGCGCTCACTCATTATCCACACCGCGCTCCTAAGTTTCCGTCGCCAATACCCTACGACGACACTACCCTACAACAACACTTCGACTACCTTCACACAACCCTGTCCTCAACCCTGTACACACATACACACACTTTCTCTTGTCCCCACTCCTCTTCTGTTTCTCCTCTCCTTCACAGCTCCTAGCATACCCTGTCCACCCGGCCCTCTCTCCTCTGCCGACTCCTGGTCGCACCCATCATCGAACATCCGTCTCCTATACCTTAGCGGTGCAGTGATGACCCTGCCTGCGCCAATGTACCCAGCCCAGATCTTGTTCCTTATCCCGGTCGTCTCCTTGTCCAGGCATACCCACGTCAACCCTTCACGCCTCACGACGGGACCTGTCGTCCATTCATAATAAGGCTTGACCTTCTCCCGCGTACCCCCCTCATCATCACCCACCAATCCGAATAATTCCTAGCCCAGCTCGCGCTCCCATAGAATTTCGAGACACAACTCCCCTCTGGGTGCTTTCTTTTCCTTCAACCTCCTCCCCTCTGCAACTGTTTTCAACAAGACACAACTGTTTAGTCGCCAACGATTTCCGGACTTAAAGGCTCACCTAGAGTGAGAGTGAGAGCAAGAAAGACCCGCCGAGTGTGCGGCCAGGCCGAGACGGTCGGCGCCAACCACGCATACCCAGCCTTCAAGCAGCGAGCTTGAATGTAACTGCTGCTTCTTTGTCTCCGCTCTTCGTCAGAGACTGCGTCTTCAACCTCACCGCTACCAGGCATACCGAACCACCCGCGATCCAACCAGAGATGTCTAACGATCCGTCCGTGAGGCGCATCTTGCCTCAGAGCTCCCAGATGGGCAGTTTCTCTTTTGCGCCGCAGCAGTTCCCTCAGAGGGAAACCCAGAAGAGTGCGCCATCTACCTCCACCCTTTTCCAACTGGGCTTTTTTCCATGCAGTCCCGTCTAACCAACGTCATGTAGACTATGTTTTCGTGGATGAGCACAATCGTCATAAACGATTGAAGGGTACGCTCGCGCTCCCCCGCCGCTGAGCAGCGCGCAACTGGACATGAACTAACCACATTCCTTCAGTCATGAGGGCTTGTGAAGGATGCAGGAGAAGGAAGATCAAGTGCGATGCGGCCACGACAAACACTTGGCCTTGCTCAGCGTGCATCAGGCTCAAGCTTCATTGTGTTCGTCCCAATGGCCAGTACGATGGCACCGACAGTTACGAGCCTGGCAGGGATGAATTCGCCGCCACGCCCTCTCAACTGCAAGATAGCTTCCGCCATCAAGCCTCCATGCAGCAACAGTCGATGATGCCCGGCGGGCAGAAGTCCAACCCGTCCATGTTTGCTGCTCAGGGTGCATATTCGGATCCCAGCATCTTCCCGTCTGTTCACTACTCTGAGCAGCCATCCCACCAGCATAACTTGCACTATACCACGGTGTCCCCCTCGGTGTCGATGATGGAACAGCCTTACACCGGCCAGAATGTGTTTCCTACGCCGCCTCTTCAGCATAGCGCACATCCAGATTCTCCTCCCGATACATATTCCCAAGACGGCTCCTATCAGCAATCCGATCTGGCTGACCTTCTCGGCTCACTGAAGGTCAATGAGGCGGGGACAGGTATGTCGATCCTTTTGCTGCCCCGACGTTGGTAACTAACGGGCTGCTGTAGCGCCATACCTGAGAAACAAAGCCTCTTTCCTCCATGACGAGGAGCCAGCCGTTGAAGACGCCGAAGATTTCAAGACTCCCTTACCGCCCATCACCTCGGGACCTGGTCTGAAGATTCGCATCCCCCCCGAATTAATGCCAGACGAGGAGACTGTCATGCATTATTTCGACCTATTCTTTAGCCATGTGCATCCTTATGTGCCCGTTCTTAGCAAGACCGTGTTCTATCACCAATGGAACACCAACCGGGAGTCCATATCACCTCTCATTGTCGAAGCCCTGTTTGCCATGGGGGGAAGACTTGCCGACGATCCTGCTCAAGGGCAGCAATGGCTTGCCTTGGCGACGAGTACGGACCCACCGTTTCATCCTTTCGGATTGTTACTGACATGAAGCAGAACATGCTGACTCTTTCATGGACGTACCGAGACTCAGCACCCTTCAGGCGTTGCTGCTCATTCTGAAAGCCAGGGAAGCAGCACCGAAGCGCGGCTACTATTACCGTTCGTGGATGACGATCGTGCAGTGCGTGCAAATGGGTAAGGATCTCGGCCTGGACGAGCATTATTCGGACCACCAGCTTGGACGGCCGTGTGGTTCTTCTCCAACAGAATGCCAGATGAAGAGTAGGATTTGGCAGGCAATTTTTGTCTGCGAAACCATGATTGGATCACCTCAAGGTCGGTGTTCTTGGTCCTTTTTATACCGGGCGAGTTACTGATTATCGTAGGACGAACCGATCTTGCTGTCGAGCTAGACTCCATCGACTTCAGTGTTCCGCGTCCCATCCCGGGCGGCGACGATTCCGAGTACCACATCACCCGTAACTTTACCTACTTTGCACGAGTCGTTCGCAATGTCAGCCGCATGAACACTGCTTACGGCCATCTAAAGAAGAAGAAGACGAAGGACTGGGGCGTTGATCCCGAGTTTGTGCAGCTCAACCCGGCCCTAAACGCTTGGTTGAACGACCTCCCCGCAGATCTATCGGTTACCTTTCCTCCGGACGGTTCGCCGCCGTGGCTTTCGTCGCCATATATCGGGAACATGCACTCCTACTACTACCTGACCTTGATTCTGCTTCATCGACCTCAGCTCAACTTTCTCGACCCTAACGGACAGGATGGTCAATGGAAGCAGCATATGATGATCTGCTACTCGGCGGCCAAGGCACTCTGTCGGCTGCAGGAGGCGGTTCTGAACTCCTTTGGCCTCCCCGGCCTGCAATGCATGCTTCGCGGGTTCAGTTTCACCGTTTACTGCGGACTGTGCTGCATTGTTCTGCATTTGGTGAGACTCCCTCCTGCGCTTCTCTATCAACCATTGTTTTAACGCGGTGGTGTTTCAGGTAGCTGTTGTTTCGCCAGATCCCGATCTGAACACCGACGCTCGCGAATTTTTCACACGGCACATGCGAGTCCTTGAGAGGGTCATGACGGCTTGGCCAATGGCGGATCTTCAGAAGCAAGTGGACGCAGTACGCGAAGCGTTTTCTGCTGATACCAGAAAGCCTTTTGTACTCAAGCCAAGTTTCCCTTACGGCAGCCCTCAGTCGTCCAACCATTCCAGTCCTCCTCGGGGTTACAGGCCTGGTATGGGTCGCACCACGTCTTTGGGTCAACAGCTGGACACTCAGAACCTTCAGCATTCTCAAGTCAGTTATACCAGCCACCCCATTACACCTCCTATTTCTGCCGGGCCTATGGATACCAAGGGTGACTCGCCTGCTATACAGTCGCTCGTCATGATGGCCAACCAAGGTTCCCAAGCGCCGGGGTTGCAGCAATCGATGTCGCTTTCAGATGCGCCGGCCTGGAATCCTGCACGTATTTTTGAGTAAGTTTGCTGTACCCCATTGTGGCGAGATAGTCCTCTTACAGAATCTTCAAGGCAATGGAACACGTCTTTCGGTACGCCTCAGGTCCAACCACAGCCTTCGACGCTCCCTCCCCAGTCCAGTTCGCTTAGTGTTTCTCCATCTTCAGGTGCACCCGAAGCTCCATCTCTTCAAGACATTCAGGCTGTCAATGCCACTCTGCCAGTGGTCTCTCAACAAATGGCGCAGCAGTATTCAGCAGCGCCAGTGCAGACATTTGTCTCGCCAGCCATGTGGCAAGAGTCCGTAGCTAGTGTCTACGAAGGCGGTCTGAAGCGGGCCTGGGACTACGATGGCAGTGGTCCTATGATGAAGCGGCGATGAGCAGCTGATGAAAATTGATATTTCCAAAGTTATCTAACCTCGTCAACAAACATCGAATATCCTTTGCCACAACTTTGGTACAACAGGGTTGTCCTGCAATCGACACGGCACGGGTTTACGACATCGCAGAGCATCTCTGCCACAAAATAAGCGGCAAATCGATTCATACGTACATATCTTGGATTTTCGGTTCTCACGGTCCTTGGCCTCATACACGGTTTATTCTCGCGACGAATACATGTACACGATTACGATGAAAATGAGGGGAAGGGAAACACGGTTGAAGATCCATGCTGGGCACCGGCGTCACTCATGCCATTCAGAAGCATGGCCCCAACCGACAACGGGGACATCAAAGAGGCGTTTGTGGTTTTTTTTAACTTTATTTTGGACGGTTCGAGGATGGAAAAGAACAGACGAGGCGGGTGTCCTGTTCCTGTACTCAGGACTGTATTACTATATTTGGCATGTTTTCTTTTGATTGAACTGACAGCGCGGCGCAGCCTGTCTAGCTGGGCGACGGACAGCACGCATCTCGGCACTGAAACGAGCCTTATTTGCTTACTGTTCACCCATGGAAACCCCAAAGTACATGTAAGAGAGAAGAAAGAGCGAGAGACAAAAGTTGTGTTCCTAGGACTGGACCAGTCAGTACGGTCATTATACCACATTTGCGGGCATCTCAGCATTTCACATCATGACACAACGCCGTGACTATCCTCTGGCCAAGAAAAGAGGGAATCTATCGAGCTGGCAATAGCTGGTGTATCCCGGCTTGGCAGGGAAGAGGTGTGTCAAGGAACCCCCAGAAGCGGTCGCAAAGTCAAGCCAGCCACCAGGGTGATTGGCCGCTGTGGCTAATGTTGGGCATGCCCCGGCTTCGTTTAACCGCACTTTCGAGCTGAAGGAACTCTATACATGCAGATGGTCTCAACTTGAATGCGGACTAGCCATCTGTCCCGCATGGGGGGTCACGATGGGGCTTACTTTCATTTTAGGCAACGTTGAGGGGAACGAGCTTACCAATGGGGGGTAGTTACTCCTTGAAAAATAAAAACAAATGGCCATCTGCTGCCACTGACTCTTCCAAATATATATACTTGGCGGTTGGGATCCCTGACCTGTCAACAGCCCGCGCCGAGAGACGCCGTGGGGGATTCGGCGATGCAACAGATGTGGCGCGGAACGCCGGGACCGGATGTCGGATGCTTCAAGCGGGAGCTGTGAAATTGGTGGGTGGGTAGCCTCACACTTGGATTGGAAGAAAAAAAGGGCGGTGGATATGTGGGATCGATCGGATTGGGAACCGTTGGGGGTTGGACCTAAGAATGCAACAGGTGTGCTGGAGCCGAAGCTTCTATTATGGCTTGCTGCTGACGCCTACCTGTTTCGATGCCGTTGTGGTTTGCCGACGTTTTGAGTGTCCCCGGGGGTGGGGGGGAGGGGAGAAGATTTACGTGCCACAGCCCTGCATCCGCAAAGGCCTACTTTTTCGGCTGAAGGACAGGTCGAGAACAGTCGTTGTTCAATGGATCAGAGGGGCCGGACCGGGTACCTAGTTTAGTCGGATCGGCGTTACGCGATGGTAGGCAGGCGTAAAGCGTAGTAACATGGGCATCTCTGTCTCATGTTTCGGGGCCGGGGCTAGATAGATAAGGTACCTGGGCAGCCAGCCTTAGGGAGCTTTGTTGGAGATGTTGGAGATGCACGTTGGACAACAACGTCCCCTTTCGAGAAAAGAGGGGGGAGGGGGAGGGGGGTGTGAATGTTGACGTCTCCTCCCTTTTCGTCAGCTCAGCAGTCAAGTGCCAGCAATGGTGAGATCCCGGCGTCTCTACTATGCAAGGTTTGAGATGGCACGTTTTTTTCGGTGTTGCTGCAATGCCATGCCGGGTTCCCCTAACGCGTTTCCGACAATGGGAATTAGCGCGGCATGCAGGTAAGGCAGGATGAAGAAGGGGTAGGTAGGTACGATGAACAGGGGGGAAGGGGGAGGGTGAGGGGGTGGGAAAAGGCGGTATTCTTGGACGCGGCAGGCAGGTGCTACCCCCAAGTGCCTCACTCTTTTTTCTTATCCTCCTTTCCCTGTGCCACATCCTAAGGCCGACGACAGTCCCGGATCCGGTCTCTTTTCATCCCAATTATTCTTCCCCCCCCACCGTTCTTCTGATGAAACAACGGCCACCCCTGCCCCTCGTCCTGTGTACCTATTTCTTTTTGGGACATCGGCGTGGCCGAGAATTTGTCGTATGCGTTGTGTGCGCTTGTATCCGTACACGTAGAATCGATCTGTCTTGGGACTCGACACCCACGCCTGCGAAACATGACACAGCCTTCTTCCTGTGTCGCCCCTCTGCTCGGGCTTGGTGGTGTCTGTCTGTGGCCTTTGTCCTTTGCCGCAGCGTCACAATTTTAATCGGTCATTAACCTTACGCAGGGCAGGTGTCGTTCGTTTCCCTTTCGCCCTTCAATATTTTCCCGTCACAGATTAAAAAGCCTGGAAGAAGGTTACAAAAGATAGGCCTCTATTGTATGAGAGGGCTAACACATGAAGATGGGGAACCCCAGTGAGCTCAGACGGTTCGTTCGGCGCCTGCGCAAATCGAGGGCCATGTAATACAGTGCCGTTGCGGCGGTGGCGGCAGCGATGGCGACGGCGACGGCGTCCCGGAGGTGGGGGTGGGCGACCGAGAGGTTGTCGGAGGGGACGTCATTGCCAGCGATGAGTGATGTGGCGGACGCAGGCATGCGGCGCACAGGGGTTTTCCAGGGAAGGGGCCGGTTTGTGAAAAGAAATACATATCAGGTAAGGCTTGTGTCAGCGACCGAGCGGCATACCTACAATTTTGCGTACCTACGTAGTAGGCAACAGCACATCGATGGCGGCGGCAACCCGACAACATGATTCAGGCTGATCGTCGCCTCTCGGCTCCACTGCATTCCTATAATGGGCAAGCTGATATACAATGATACACTAGGTTACTATTTTTTAATTCGGCAAATGCAAAGTAAATTACCTGTACAATGACTAGTGCACTCGAATGTCTCTTTGGAAGGAGGGGCCGGGTCTCTGAAAATATACAGGGAGCTGTCGTCTTCACGTCCTTCTCTTCTCTCTGGGCCGGACACCATAGGCAAGCCAAATACACCCAATATACACAAATCCTACAATTCACCCCATTTCTATATGAATCATACACAATGCCGCTCGGACAGGGCATCCCGGCGGGGTCTCGGGTCAGGACAACTTACTTGCGCTTACCCAGCGACTCACGGACAATGGTCCAGACCCAGCCATCCTTGACGCCGTAGGTAGCGCCCTTGCCGCCGCTCTTAGCGCCACCACCAGAGGCGACATCCTCGCGGATGCCGAACCGGCTCACCGGGCGGTAGTGGTGCCACTTGCGCTTCGCCATGAGAGCCGAGACATCGCGGACGTGCGTGACGAGGCCGAGGCGCGTCGCAAGGCCCCCGCCAGCCGCCTGCGGCGAGACGGGGCGGAGGTTGGCGGCGGAGACGAGGGTCGTCCTGGGCCGGGTGGCGAGGCCCATGGTGCCGAGCTCAAGCTGGGCCGTCGGCGGGAGGGTGCGGACGTAACGCTCGAGTAGGGCGCGCGACTGCCGCGCGTACGGGGGCAGGCGGAGGTAAATATAGGTTACGAAGGGAGCCGAGGTGTAGGCAACGAAGAGGAGAGGGATGATGCCGCAGGCGGCCACTAGGTGGTTGTTAGCGATGTCGGAGGAACATCTTGATTGATGGGCCTTGGCGTTCAGGCGGTAGAAACAGACGACGGTGTTTTGGGTGTGGGTTGTGACAGACAAGAAAGAAAGAAAAAGGGGGCTGTGAGGAAGAATAGGTAAGGCAGGGGCTGAGAAGGTGAGTGAAATGAGCACGAGGAGCACACTTACGCCCTGCGGCTTCGATGAGCGTCTTGTCATCAGTGCGGATGTAGTTAGGCGCGGCGACGAGGCAAAAAAAGGCACACGAGAAGACGCTCGTGATCTTCCAGAAGGCCAGGAATGCTGTCCGGCCGGTGCCGGCGTGGTAGATGAGGAGTCTCTCGGGCAGCTCTGTCAATGCGTAGGTAAGTATACAATCAGCGTCTGTAACGGCAAGATGCGGAACTCCACCCTCGGCTTCGCTTCGGAGGGAGGGGTCGCTCGAATGAACGGTAGAAATCATGGGATGATACACATACCGTCACTTCCGGGCCGGGCAGAGCCTCCGGCGCCGGCGGGTTTTGACACGGTCCGAGGTCCGGGGCTCGGGGCGGCAGAGGCGAAGGGCCGTCTCGGACTACATTGCTGTCGGGACTGAAAAGATTTTTGAAGGAAAACGCGGGGCGTGCATGACCTTAGGGAAGGCAGGGATTGTGCTCTCGACGGAGAGACACGTGTAAGGAGCAGCCGGAGGAGGGGCATTGTGATGGATGCCCATGGGGACGAGGGTGAGAGTGAGAGTGAAGAGTGAGTGGTTGTGGACGGGTTGGGTAGGTAGGTGGAGAGGGAGAGTTTGATGAGATAAAATGCCGTGGTGGGTGAGGTCACTGCGCTGCCGGGCCCTGCCCAACTTTTTCCCCCCTCTACGCGACGCGGCATGTCTAAATTACCTGCTTAGCTGCCATCCCCTCGCCGAAACATTTTTCGATAAACTGTTTCAACCGTCTTTCATCCCTGAACTAACACTTCGTGATGGGTCTACTGATATCGAACGAGAAGTTGTCGCCATGAAGCACTCGAAACGACTTGTTTGAGCTTCTTGAATTACGGACTGGTCGGGGTGCAATGTTAACTCAAGGCCACTTACATCATAGTCGGCCGTTCCACACACAGGGTTGAGCGCTCCAACTAACCGGCCGCGCATCTCTTTTAGACCCGATGCCCCTGACCTGCGGCTCGCCGAGCATCTCCTCCAAGTCAAACAATGTTCTTCTGCAGCCATTCCTTCAACTGGTCCAGCGTCCACCCGGAGCTGATCTCGTTGCTCGGGTATCCGTCCAACAGCACCGTCGGGCTGACGTGCACGCCCGTCAACCGCGCGAGCTTGATGAGCACCTTGAAGTCGGTTGTCACGCCGTTGCCGGCGTTCAGTGCGCCGTCGCCGTGAGGCTTATCCGACATGAGGAGCAGCTGCAGCACCTTGTCTCCGTCAATGCCCACAGAGGCCGCGAGCTTGGCCAGCCTGCGGTAGGTGTCGTTGCGCGGCTCGTTGACGACGTTTTCGTCGAAGTAGTCCTTCTGCGCTTTGAAGAGCGCGTCGCTGTACTCCCAGAACTTTTGCGGCGCGACCTTGATGACAGCGACGGCCGACTCATGGACGAGTGTGCTCGAGGGGTGCCACGGCTGGACTTGCTGGCGGAAGATGATCTCAACGTTGGACGCCCAGGCCTGGTTCGCGCGGATGGCGGGGATGACCTCGTGGTAGAAGGTCTTGAACAGCTTCGCCGAGAAGGGGCAGACGTAGTCGAGGTAGAGCTCGATGGTGTGGCGTTGCGAGGGGACGCCATCTGCGAGGGGCTTGGGGGAGCCGAAGGTCAGCTTGTGGGCTGCAAACTTGGGCGGCACGGCCATTGTGGGTGGTGAGGAGTGGAATTGGGATGGGCGGGTGGTGCTAAGTCGGCGGTGTGTTGTGGAAGTGGTGGCTCTGTCGGTGAGTATTGGCTTGATGGAGGATGAGGGTGTGACGATGGCTGGGCGTCGACCCAGGTTTAGTACGATGGGCCAAGGGAGCTTCATCTACCTTCTATTGCTGTCGATACAGAGATGGTGCTACGCTACGTGCAGCAGCCCTGGGTGATGACGAAAAGGCTCCCTCCTCTCCCATTGGAGCATGCAGGGGCGGGGTAGCTCAAACTAACAACAGAGTTGTCCCTCGCAATATCAACTGATGGTAAGGTTTTGCGAGATAATGATGCAAGCGGTCACGAAAATTTGCTGACTGGGCACATGGAGAAGGCCTCTAACATCACGCAATTCTACCAATCTCATGCGCTATCTCTTAGTGAACTGTGTATCCCGTTGGACTAGCATAACAACATGGTATGCATACGGCTTCCAGTTTCGACTTGGCGCAGTTGTCAACAAACCAAACCATGCAGCATGCTCCGGGCCTGTCGGGGCCCTTGGTGGCTCCATGTTCGCGGGCCCACCAAGTGGCCCTGATACTTGACAAGTCCATACCGCGAGTCGGCTTCACCCGATTCTGGACCCTCCTTATGGCGGAACAACTCAAGAGCCGACCCCTCGTCTTTCTTTGCTGTATCCGTAATGTCCGCTGGTCTCATTCAACCTCTCGCATCGAACCCCACCGCCCCTCTTAAGAAACGGTGTTTTTGGCCACGATGCCCCGCGCAAATTCGCCGAACGTTATGTGTTGCTCAATGTCGACCTCCTCGCCGAGGTTCGGCTGAGTGAAAACTGCTAACGTGTTGCGCGCAACTCGGCCGTCGCTCACTGACGCTCTGACGCCCCTCACGAAATGCGGAACCGCCTTGAACCTGCCGCCCGTGATGCGCTCGAGAGCCTCCCCCGTCTGGAATGCAATGCAGTCCCGCGGGATCTTGACTTGAACTGTCTCTCCCGTTCTCGAGTGGATGTATAGCCCAGCAGCCGGGTCGGGTGACGTTGCTAGCTCGGCAAGCGGTGGCAGGCTTGCAGACTTGTCGTTTGTGATTTCTGGTACCGCAGCTGGCGTCTCGTTCTCGTCGATGAACATGGCCGACGTCAAACCAGTGAGACATCCGTGATCGACATGAACGCTGCACCTTCCCCCCCGCGCGCGTTAGCTGGATTTCCAGGAGGCCGCTTGGAGAGATTATGTTACCAGTCATCGTCGGCGGCACCGATTTTAGAGAGCGCTTCTTGGGTCTGCGGATAATAGTGTAACAAGCGCGCCTTCGTCGTGTTGGACGTGCTGACAACGTGCTCCAAGTAACCCTTGGTATATGCCTGTATCTCGGATTCTGCGTATCTGTCGCATGCCCGGGCAACGAGGACCGCGGTGTCGATGATGACGCGGCACAGGCTCTCGAGGCTAGGCTTAAACCCCGGAAGTACGTCCTGCGCCGGCCATACGTTAGGCGACAGGTACTCGGGGAAGTTATCCGTGTTGAATTCGGTGGTTGGCTTGGCACAGTCAAGTGTGGCATCGACGTAGAACGCACAGTTGGCATAGTATGACCCCTTGAACGTGTCAACTTGTCCGTTCTTGAGTGTCTCTTTCCCTAAAGACCAGCCTGTTAGGTATTTGGCCTTTTCATTCTCTAGCTTTTCTGATCATATGTCAGTAAGAGATCCTGCAGCAGGGTGGAATTTCATCTCTATACTAAGTTCATGTTCGGGCAGATTGCCCAGGTAAGAAGCATATGACAGTGTCTGGTGTCTCAAGTGACTGAACTCGGGAGGTGTATCTTTAACTACCAGGATACCTAAAGATTCCGGCCCAAAAGCTTCCTCAAGCGTCTCAAAGGGAATGTTGCCTGCAATATGGTTGTCACATGTAAGTTATTGCTCCGATTCATGGAGCCATGGGACTCACTTACCCTGCTTGAGGTCGCCCAGTGACACAACGACTGGGTGCGCGATCTGAACCATCATGGCTGTCCTAGTGCAAGTCCGTATTGTTGGGAAACAACGAAACGAGAGAATAAACGATCAAACCGTGGGCGCATCGACAAGATGTCCGAATACCAATACCACCTGCCAGACACGGTCCTCGAGGTGGGGGAGGGGCACTGTCCAATACTTACGTAATCACACCATCAGGCATTCTTTGCCCTAGCACGGAGTACTGGAGCTTCCCATCGCTAGTTCACCTCTCGAAGCTGCCAGACTCAGCACCGGAGCCGCCGAAAATCGCACAATATCAACAACCTACCTTCCTCATCGATACCCAATTATTAAACGAGACGCAACACACAAGAGAAACCCAAGTATGGTCAAACCCCTATCGTTCAAGGGCGACAAGAAGCCCAAGAAGAGAAAGCGCACGGAGGCTGAGGCCCAGGAGCGCGATGTACATAGCGGCGAGGTTATCCGTACGAACAGTGCCGTAGGCACGGAAGAGAATGCGGACGATGACGATAGCTGGGTGGCTGCCGATGCTGTGCCGGATGTCGTTGGGCCCATTATGTTCGTGCTGCCGACGGACCCCCCTACCGCACTGGCATGCGACGCCGTCGGCAAGGTGTTTACGCTGGGGATCGAGAATATCGTCGACGCGAACCCGGCGACGGCGGAGCCGCACGACGTGCGACAAGTGTGGGTTGCGAACAGGATAACAGGGACGGAACAATTCAGGTTCAAGGGCCATCACGGGCAGTAAGTGTGAAGAAGTGGCCGGTCCCCAATGAGGCCTGGGTTCTAACGTACAGCAGGTATCTGGGATGCGACAAGAACGGCGTCTTGTCCGCGACATCGGCCGCCGTGTCGCCCCTCGAATCGTTCAACATCATCGCGACAGCAGACACCCCTGGCACCTTCCAGATCCAGACGCTGCGCGACACCTTCCTCACCGTCAAGCCGCCGAAGTCTAACGTTACGACGTTTGACGTCCGCGGCGATGAGGAGTCCATCACATTCAACACCACGTGGCGTATCAGAATGCAGGCAAGGTTCAAGCCACGGCTTAAAGCAAGCAAGGAGGAGAAGGCAAAGGAGAAGATCAGTCGTAAGGAACTAGAAGAGGCTGTGGGCCGTAGGCTCGAGGATGATGAAGTGAGAAAACTGAAGAGAGCGAGGAGGGAGGGCGACTATCACGAACAGTTGCTTATGCTGAAAGTAAAGGGGAAACACGACAAGTACGGCTAAAAGTGTCGCGCGGCTCCGTTAGTTTGGTTAGGGGCAAGAAGGCAAATGATACCCAGGCGAAAAGAACCACAGATTTCAAGAGAAAAAAAATGCATCATTCGCTCAACTCCTCTTTTTTTTTTTTTTTTTTCTGGGGGTTTTTTTTCTTCTTCTTCTTCTTCTGTTTCATGCTTAATTGGGTCTCCACGCTTTGATGTTGCCGTCTTCTCCAGCAGTAAAGACGACCTGCTCGTCGTCGTAGAAGCAAAACGACCGGACAATCTCTTCGCCGTGGCCGCCAGGCAGTCCAACACTGTTCGCCCTGTCGAAATCCCAACCGCCCTCTGTTGTACGCGACAAGTGCACCAACTCAAAGATTTGGCGGCTGAATGACAAGATTAGATAGAAGTCGAAAGTGAAGTAGCAAAATCTAGCAGGGAGCAACTTACTCTTGCGAGCCAGCACCAACAATGGCGCCACTACCGTCAACCTTAGTCGTCACGTTGGCGATGTACTGGCAACCGAGGGTCTTCCTCGCGTCGCCAAAGTCGACGACTGCAGCGCCTGAACCGTGGTCTTCGGCGACGCTGTAGACGGCGAGCTTCTCGTCGTGGGTCAGCACGTAGACCTCGGTGTTACCAAGGAACGAGGAGTGATGGACGGATCCCTGGTTTAGTGTCTGGATGACAACCTCATCCTCGTCGGAGATGCGCGTGTCGTAAACGTTGACGAGGCCGTCGGTTGAGCCTGAGAGGAGAATGTGCGGCTCTGAGGGGTGGAAGCGGAGCTCAGTCACATCGTCACTGTGAACTTCGTCGTATTGGAGCCTCTGCGTCGGACCGGCTCTGATATCCCTGCGGTTGCGTCAGGGACTCTTGCGTCTCTAAGTAGGGAGTCAGGTATGAGGCGATAACGACGTACCAGAGTAGCACCGACGCCATGTGGTTCTGGAACTCTGTGCCAATCGCTATTGTGTTTGTTCTCGAATCACAATCAAGAGAAAGAATGGGCGATTGACTGGCTGTATGTCGTGTTAGTGGTGTTCGGTTTACAACTCACTTAAGTCTGATGCAAAGTACCTACCTGCAAAGTGGGCGACCTGAGGCTTCGATGACTCCCTCATATCCCATACCGAGACCTCTCCATTCTCACCTGCGGTGCACACAATCGAATTCTGCCAGTCAAACGTCTTCAGACATGTCAGGTTACCATGACTGGTAGGATACGACTTGATGGGGCCTTGGCACAGCCTCGCAGGGTTGAAAAGGCCTAATTTTTGATCCGAGGAGATGGCAGCTAGGCCAGCATTGAGCCGTTGGACGTCAAGAACATAGACATCCTGCTGGCTTGAAAAATGATGGCCATCTACACAAGAGAGGTTGTACATCTTAACAGCGGGGGATCTATGTCTGTTTGTGAGCATGGGCTCGGGGGGGAATCATCAGTGCTTTCAACTCACAAGACGAGGCTCGCGCACAATTAGCTAGATACAAAATGAGCTCTGACCAATTCGTTAGGTTGTGAATACCAGAAGACAATGAGTTTATCAGATCCAGTCCAAAAAAATAATAATTTAAAATTCAGAAAGAGGCAGAACGCAGACAAGCACAGGGTATATTCCAGAGTCAGAATCAAGAGCCCAGTGAAGGAAAGGACGACGGGAGCCCTTTAGTACAAAGCCTCATATTATGCAACTATACAGTATGGTACTCTGATAGACGCTATAGTGCGATATCGGCTACTTCCCAAGTCAATACCCAATCATGTCTCAGAGAGTGGACTACCCTGTCCATTCGGAGCTCAATTACCACCTACGTGGACCCTCGAGCCAGGACAGCTGTTCTGAAAGCATCGAGCAGCGCAACTGTTGCAACCACCAACCGTCGTTCGCTCACTCAAGCGTGTCTTTGTAAAATAACATGTCGCAGACCTTGGCGGTAGACTTTGGTACATAATATCTGTCCAACATGAGGCGTTCTTTTCTCTGGCTCGTCCGTAAGTTTCATGAACTTTATCCGGCATTTCTACACAGCTGGAAAGCTGACATATCCACAAGTGCTGTTGCAGGCGGCCGTTGTCTTCTGTTCCGATGAGCAGAAGATCTTGCATGACCACGAAAAGACTGATGGAGAGAGCAAAGAAGGACACGCGAAGATACAAACAGATGTTCTCCCTGAACACCACAAACCCCCTCCGAGGCAGCCTGGTATGTACGATTTCCAAATGGTCGGGCGAGGGCGAGTAGGATCGCAAGGACTGACATCAAGAAGGAGCAGAACTGGTTGACCTCGCCTTCGAAAAGCTGGCCAAGCTTCCACCCCGAACCTACCCGAGACGTGAACGTCGTTACACCCTCGTCTGGACTGTTCTCAGATATGCTCTCAAGTTTGTACCTAGTCTAAAGGCTGCTCCAGTCCCCGGCAGCAACCTAGTACAGGATACCAAGGTCACCGGGCCACTGTTGGAAGCCGTGAAGCTTCTGGAACAATCCGCGCTGCAAAACAACACTGATGCGCTCTACCTCTTGGCCGACATGAACTTCTACGGCAACTACACCTACCCGAGAGACCTCAAGGTCGCCTTCGACCACTACCAAACCCTTGCGACGCTCCATGGCAACCGCACGGCGCAGTACATGATAGGCATTTACTATGCGACTGGGATCGGGCATGTCGTTGCACCCGACCAGGCGAAGGCACTGCTTTACTACTCGTTCGCTGCGATACAGGGCGACACCCGTGCCGAGATGGCCGTTGCTTACCGACACCACAGCGGCATTGCGACACCGAAGAATTGTGAGGTGGCAACCAAGTACTACAAGAGGGTGGCAGACAAGGCATTTGAATGGTATCGATCGGGCCCCCCTGGTGGCATGGCATGGGTGGTGGAGTCGTACCGTATTGCTGATGAGCTTGGCGGAGTCTACGGCGAGGGTGCGAGTGCCTCAAGTGCAGGTATGAACGCCATCAAAGCTAGCCCCAACTCAGACGCCAATGCCGCCATCGACGACGTTATCGAGTATCTCGACCTCATGTCGCAAAAGGGCGATGCAAAAGCTTCCTACAATTTAGGACGTATCTATTATGAGGGGCAGAGAGGACTGGACCGGGATTTGGATCTTGCTCGCAAGTACTTCTTCACTGTGGCCAAGAGATACTGGAAAAAAGATGGCCGCATCATGGAAAACCACAAGCAGGGCATTGAGAAGACGGCGAGCAAAGCCGCCGGCTTCATCGGCCGCATGTACCTCAGGGGCGATGGTGTCGACCAGAGCTTCGACCAAGCCAAGAGATGGTTTGAGCGAGGTATCTCGCATGGAGACGCCCAGTCCCAGCACGGTCTTGGTCTTATGATGCTTCATGGGTACGGAATGCCCAAGAACATAGCTATGGCCACCGACCTCTTCAAGACAGCGGCGGAACAGGACTATGCGCCGTCCCAAATTGAGTTGGGCGTTCTCTACTTGGACCAAGGTGGGCCGGAAGATGTTCGAATTGCCAACAACTATTTCGAGCTCGCTGCCCGGTACGGTCAAATCGAGGCACACTACTACCTTGCTGAGATGGTTTACAACGGCGTAGGCCGCGACAAGACGTGTTCCATGGCACTAGGGTACTACAAGAACGTCGCTGAGAAGGCCGAGCCCCTCGTCTCTTCGTGGGCCGAAGCAAACCAGGCCTATTACTACGGCGACGAGGAACTGGCATTTCTGGAGTACGTCATGGCGGCTGAACAGGGCTACGAGCGCGCGCAGAACAACGTCGCGTTCATTCTTGACCCCGTTCAGTCGAGACTTCCGTTGCCGGACTGGCTACCCATCCCCGAATGGCTCGGTCTCCGACGCACGCGTTCAAACCTACTGGATAACCAGAGACTTGCTCTAACGTACTGGACTAGGTCATCCAGACAGTCGAATGTAGATTCCCAGGTCAAGATGGGTGACTACTACTTTTACGGCATCGGATCCGAGCCGGATGTGAACAAGGCCGTGCAATGCTACACTGGCGCTTCGGACTATTCGCAGAGCGCCCAGGCTCTCTGGAACCTGGGTTGGATGCACGAGAACGGCATCGGTCTAACCCAAGATTTCCATCTCGCCAAGAGATATTACGATCAAGCCCTTGAGGTCAACGAGGAGGCCTACCTCCCCGTCACCCTCAGTCTTTTGAAGCTACGTCTCAGAAGCGCCTGGAACACCTTTACCCACGGCCCAATTCATTCCATCCAGGACGACCCCAGTAAGTACTACTGCGTAAGTGCTATGATATTTGCGCCTGATACTAATGTTTAATTCAGAGCCCAAGAAGGACTGGTCCCTTGGCGAGTGGATCGCCAATTTTCTACAGGACGATCAGTTGTACTACGATGACGCGTACTATGAGGACATATTTGATGACACCATTGGCGGCACCGGTCCTGACGGCAACCCGCTCGAGGATGACGGCATCGTCGAGAGCCTTATTATAGTCTTCATCGCCCTGTCGCTCGTGCTTCTGCTTTACTATCGCCAGCAGAGACAACAACAGCACAGGCGGGAGGAAGAGGAGCGGCGCCGTCGCGAGGGCCAGCCCGCCGTCCCCGTGTTGCAGGGGCAGCAGCAAGACCGGGGTCTATTTCCGCAGCCCGGTAACCCGGAGTGGAACAACTGGGTCGCTGGTGGTATCGGACATTGAAAATGTGATTCCTGGATGTACGATTGCACGGATAAAGCGGAAGATTTAGAATCTACATGGCTTGACGCGGGAGAGGACGATAAAGCATAATGAGCGCTGGCGTTTGGGAACCGTCCTGAGACTAGGACATGTATTTCTTGTGTGCTCGTTACAACTCGACAGGTTTCTTGATTGCCTTTGTGGAATGCGTGACAGTGACAACCGTTTACACTGCGACCGGTACGCGCTTGACAGTTCTTTCCCTGCATAGTTCCTAGATTTGATGGATTCCAACATCATCAAGACAACTGAGTTACGCTTAGCCTGAACGAGGTCTGGGGGTCGTTTGCCTGGTGTCGTAGAAATGCCCATCAGTCGGATTTGGGCCGAACAAACAACAGCTCTCATCAAACGGCGGCGCATCAATTAGTTTCAAATATCGTACAGCGTCATGTGAAGGATAAAAATAAACTGTTGACATTGTGCATAATTGGCTTGCTATTCTAGTGGTATCATCTTCTGTGTAACCCGCAAAGAAAGAACAGCAAGAAAGGTATTAGCGACTATCTTAAAATAGCCCAGATGCGATGAAAAATTCGGCCACTGGGTATGTCCTTAGTATTTCGAAAGTATTAGGAACCGAAAAAGAGGTGGCGCTGTTTCCTTTTCGTACTAGTGATGCTCGCCACTACCATCATTCAGGAGAACACGGAAAACTGGAAATAAGAATGCGTGGCTTGGGCGTGGGCTGCCAATCTAGCGGCGAACGGGAGGAGTTCGGGCACCCGTTAAAGGAGGGCCTTGGGAGTTCTCCATATTACCCGTCAACTCGGCGACGCGAGCCTTGATGCGGGCTACGCGAGATTCGATCGCTGCACGGCTTGTCAGACTCGTTTAATATTTGCCCAGAAGTTCGTTGGTACTTACTCTCCTCTCCACTCGTGTCGTCATCACCATCGGTGGTCTTGCTGTATCCGCCACGGCTCTGCTCCTCGCTCTGGCGCTGCGCCGCACGCTCCGCAGCATTCTTGCGGATCTGCGCCCATCGGTCTATCGCGGGCGGGACTCGAGGACCGTTGTCTGGTGAGGTCGGCGAGGCCTCCACGGTAGGTTGGGGGGACTTTGCCCGTCTCGCAATGGGGGGTGGAATGGCATCCTCGGACTCGTCATCAGGGACAAAGGCTGGCTGTTCTTGCAAAGGGCCCTGGTCGAAGCGTGAGAATTCGTGATGAGCCTCGTTGGCATCCTCGGTATCGACGCGGGATATCGATTCATCAACGGACGGCTCGTACTGCGGCTCGTGAGCTTGGGTTTCAACAGGAGCTGGCTGAGGAGTTTCCATTGGCGTGGTGTAAGCCTCAGCAGGTGTTGGTGTGGGGAGGTTGGACTCAGAAGCAATGGACTGGGGGACGGGAGAAGGAGCAGGCTTTGGCGGCTCGGGGGTTGCTGTCTCGCGCTGGAGCATACCGTTCACATCCGCGGCGGCGTTCTCAGGCAATTTCGAGCTTCGGTTTTTGTTGCGGCCAAAGAGCTTACGAAGGCCACCTCCGCCGGTCTTCTCTTTATGAAGCTTCTTTGATTTTTTGTCCTTGGTGCTGGTGTCCGGTTCTGGCGTAAACATGTTCTCCCGACCATAGTCGTGCGAGTCCTTGGGCGGAGGCAGTGGGGAACTGCGACCGTCTTCGAAACGGTTGGCCGGATGCAACCCATTCGGGGCTTCCATTTCCTTCTCCGAGGGTCCTCGAGGGTCGTCGTCCTGTTGGCTGGGCGGCAGCGGAGATGGTGAGCGGAATACCGCCGAAGAGTTCATCGCCAATGGGGACGTCAACGGGGACTGCGATTGCAAAGAAGGAGACTTCTCCGGTACTTCGGGACGTAATTCGGCCTCGTTGGTGTGGCCGTTCGAGTCTTCGTTGTAGCCATTGCTCCCGTTCCTTTGCATGGTTGAGACGCCAAGGCCACGACCAGTAGCATTGTTTGCCAAGTAAGCCTCCCGAATGGCATCCTTGTCATACTTGTTTGCCCATTTCATCGCCGGTGATGCCTGGCGCATAATATCGGGCTGAAGAGTCAAGACACTTGTCGTCTTCTCTCTTGCCGACTCATCATTTCTGCCTCGGCGTGCTTGGAGCATCTGTTGCTGCTGCTCCTGCTGTTGACGCGCCTGTAACTGGGCGGCAGCGGCCTGGATTCGGGCTTGCTGATCGGGACCAATGCTTGACTTGCTGAGGTTGGAATCGGCGTTGGTGCTGCCCTTCTCAAGAGCAGGCTTGCCCGTTGACTTGCGACGGTTCACGCCCTTGTTGCGTCTGGTCCAGCTGAAGAAACCCTTCTTCTCAGCAATATATGCGCCTTCCTGGGGTTCAGGGGCTGCTCCAGCCACCATCTCCTCCATGACCAACCATCGACCACGCTTGATAGAGGTTTCGACAACGGCACATCGGCCGAAAGCTGACTTTCTTTCCGGAGTCTCTTCCGGGGCAAGACTGCTCATCCAAACCCACCAAAAGCTCTCATCCAGATCGAATCGAGCAATGCTCGCCAATTCTCCGGGCTCCAGACGCTCCGATTCCAGTCTCGGGTTGTGGGACTGGGAGCTTCGTTGGCGCGCAGTCGTCTCGATAGGTGGGAGTACCTGGTCGGGGGGTAACAGCATATTAGGGGTGTTAGGGTTGTCGTCCACGAACCCAGACGAGAGGAAGTCGGCCCAAGATGGCGTAGTCGGCCTACCCAGTCCCATGTTTCCGGACGCAGGTGTAGTTCTAAGGCCGTGGGGCCTGCGCGCAGCGGCTGCCGCTTCATCGTCATCGTCGTCGTCTTCGAGCGCACTGGTGAACCCAATGTCTTCAAATCGTGACCATGATGCGTCCCGCAAGCTTGTGGAGTGCTTTGCGCTGGACACTTGAGATTGGTTGGCCGACGAAATCGCTTTCAGCACTCGGCGACATTCCTCGGTCAGAGCCTTCACAGGGTCCTCGTACTCGGAAAATTCGCGCAAGGCTCGATCCTCCTCGCGATACTGGAAGTGATTTGCTCGGCGCAGGAGTGCAAAGGGTGTCGGCGAGACAGTGTCGACGATCATGACTACTCTGTAGGTAGAAGATTGCATCAAAGACGGTTTCTGAGGCGGATACTCTGTTTCCTGCAGCAACTTCTGGAGAGACATCGGAAGCATGGAGATTGCGCCCTGAGTCTGCTTGTGAGGAGCTAACGATCGAAGGTATGCAAAGAAAAGATGGCTCGTGGCGTCGGCAGCACTGCGATAGGTTAGTGATGCCAGGTTGCATGTTCAATGCCACTCACGTTGCCCAAGCTTTGTATCCGCCTTCAAAGCCGCTGCCGGTGTCCTTCTGCTCGAACGCCCACCATGCAGCCATCCGAGAGATTTTGCGCCCGCCCAGACCGTTCATCTTCCCATGGGCGGCAATTGCAGATATCAGGTCAAAAAAATCGAAAATGATACTCGACCGGGCGCCGTTATCAACGCTGAGAGGAATGAAAGTCTTGAAGGAGTCTCTCGCCATATTCGAATCTGGACTGGGTGTAAGTCATGACGGCAAGTTGAATGTGATAGTCAGCTCGCTCGTGCAACATACCTTGCTCGCCAACCTTGAAGAGTTCGTACGCATCCCAGCCTACGACACCACCTGAAAGTCGACTCCAGCACCATTTGACCACACCGGCGATTACCTGAGAATTGTGTGTTAGCATGCGCAAGCAGAATTGTCTTCGAGGAGATCACACCATTGGCGCTGTCATGCGCAGCTCCTGCGACAACGACTCGCCACGAAGAGGTTGGCCGCCATCGAAGAAGTGTCGGATGAAGGTCCGGACAGCACTAGGGTCCGAGGTAGGCCGGAATGGCAACAGAAGAAAAGGGTGGTCAAGTGCTGCATGGAAGCAGGATGTCAGTCGCAATGAGGATGATAGGTCGCATTGAGAGGTGTAGCGTTAGGAACCGCTGGTTATTATGCAGAACATACCTCTTGCCTTCAACTCTTCGGTACAACGTCTGATCAAGTCCTGTATCTCTTCGGGTTCAACCGTCTGCCTCGTGTAAGCGTCGTCCCATTTTGGCTTCGTAGAGAGCTGATCGGAAGCATCGAAGTTGGACCCCTTCTTGGACTTTTTGTGCGACCCGTCCTTGCTCTTCAGGCGAGAGAAGAGGCTAGGCATGATGCTGGTGGAGAATCGCCGTTATCGAGGCGATCGATGGTCGGGGCGGGGAAAGGCGCGAGGTATTCGAGGAGCCCAGGAGGATAAATGGGCAGCAGCAGTCGTGACTAACTACCTTGACAAGCGAAGGGCAGGTCACAGTAGTATAATGGATCTGAGACAAGGAGAGCCCAACGTTCGCAGTCGGTTTGGAATTTGCGGGGGGTCGCGAAGAGGGACGCGATGGGCGAAGTGTGGTAGAACGAGAGGCTGCGCGTTTGCCGAGCCCAGTGTCAAGAATATGTGGTTGGAGCGGCCCACCTCGCGAGGAATTTCAGTAGGAAATTGCGGTAGCGGGAAATCAGTAGCTGAGGGTATCGGAAAACAAAGACTAGGGGGCTAACGAAACGAGGGAAAGTCTCCAGCAAGGGAAAGAATATGAAGAGAGTCGGAGAGGGAGAAGAATGGAGAAAGGTGGTGATGGTTCTGCTTGTGCTTTGGGCATAACTTCGGGCTTGGGCAAGAACCGGAAAGAGAGGCTGCGTCCAGTCCGGAGGTGCTCCTTCTCTTTGCTTTCAGGGGCGAATGAACGACAGGTGGCTATTAATTGGAGAAGGAGGAAATGGTATTATTTGGAGGGGTCCCCTGGAGTGCTTGTCTATGGGGGGGTTCCATCTTCCTTCTCCCCTGCTTTCTTTTTTTTCTTTTCTTCTTCCTCTGCCTCTAAAATGTATCCCCCACCCCCTGCTGGTCTTTTGGAGGTTGGCACAGGTACCTTTTGTGTGACCATCACCGCGGCCGGGTACCTGAGGACAATAGTGATGTGACAGACAGCCTGATGGGGAATAGCGGCAATGCAACGCGTTAGGGGCTGGCTCTTGCTCTTCTCCTCGGTCTGTGAGACGGTGTGGAAGCTCGTGAGTTGGTCGGAGGCTTTTGGCGGCGTCTGATGGGCCGTAAACTCGCTGGCCCGTTGTTTGAGTCTGGACTTATCAGCCATGGATGGGATTACGGGTGATGCTAGTGGCGTGGCACTCAAGCAACAGGCAATCGGCACCATAGCTAGGATCCTGGGAGAGTAGAAGAGGCGGAGGGGCACGACAGGCCCTGAAATAAAATTAAATCGCTGGAACGAGCACCCTTGTCCAGTACTGCAGGCTACTCTCTTACTTGAGGGTCAACACTGACCAGTCTCGCTGGCTCGCGTTGGGCACAATGTGACGGAGGCCTGTCGATTATGTCGACTGAGTCCTGATTCAGAGTTTGGTGTTGTCCGTTGGTTGGCTGAGAACCTATTAAGGGGCGGGTACGCCGCGGTGGGTGTCAATTCGCAGTTTACTCACTAGTGACTGTGATCTCAGGCAAGGATGCTAATATTATCGATTTGGGGGAACGACGGGAGCGATGCGGCGCCCGGGCGACTCACAATTTCATGTTCTAATAAAGGCGCTGGTAATGAAGAAAGGAGGAAGGCACCAACACGGAATAGGGAGACTAGACGATAACGCACAGCTCCTCGGACTACCTGGACGTTGACGTATTCGCAATGCCTGCTACTGCGAGTGAGGAAACATCAGACGAAGAAGACGGTGCCGTCGTTCTATCTTCGGTGTCGGCTTCGTCAAAGGGTTCAAAACATCAGACGGGACAGCTTGGTGCTCCCCTGGGCGTGGCGCACATACAGTACCTATGTGGTCATAGATTGCCCACCCAATCACTCTCTTGAGTTGTTGATCTCATATCAATGCCCGTCGAGAAATCTCGGCCTTTATTGCTCAGGCACATCCCACCCGGCCAAGTACACTATACCTAGCCGATCATGCCTTGTCCAGCCCATGAATTACTCGAGACATGATGTCTCTGCTGTGGCCAGGCGTGGAAGGGTTGCCCCATTTGTCGACCGTATCTTAATTGAGACCCGTTTGTCGTGCGTTACCCTCCCGTCCAAGTATTTACCTCTGATGGGGCGGCTGATACCAAGGTAGATACGTAGGTCCGTAGGGGCGTTGCTGCGATCTCGAGTGATGACCGGAGCCTATATATAATAGCAGTAGTATTTAACAGTACAGGGAAGAAGGCGTGATACACCTTGTTGGCCCGCTTCCCCCGTGTATTGTGTGCTTCGCTTCCCCGTAAGGCACTAAAGCCCCTTCCTGAGCAAAGAGGAATGAAGAGAGAGGACTACTACTACTAAACCAAAACCAAAACCCACCCCAGCATTGGTTTTGTGACATCGCTCCTCCCCCCCGTGCGTCGCTAGGTACCTACCTGGCGCTCCAATATGGTGGGGTGAACCCTGCTACCGTCTCGTTTCGGACCTTCTTCGACCTTGCCTGCCTGCCCGTCTCGCCTACCTCCAGAGAGAGAAAGAGAAAGAGAAAGAAGAGAACATCCCGTTTGCTCTCAGCTGTCCAGCCACTAATTACGTGCATGCGCCACGCAAATGAACACACAAAAATTACCACCCTTGTTTGGGAGTCCGAGAAATGTCGCCGTGAATCGTGCCACTCGGCACTTCTTCACCACAAATAGAGACACCCATACGTATATTGAGCAGCACTGGCGCCTTGCTTTCGGGGGCCATCGGTCGAGACCCAGATATACCCATCGTTCGCCAATCGAAAACCCATTGGCTAGCTCGATCTTGCCGTCATTGGGCTGAATCCGAGTCATATATTTCCAATTCCCATCGCTCCCCTGTCACGACTCACCTCTCCATCGTTATTTTGTCACTGTAACCGAGCGCATGTGTCTCGCGCCATCCCTCGACTGAGGATCGACAAGGCATGACTACGAACACACGTATCCGGCAAGAGGCGTCTCGAACCTGTTGCTCGCTTGGCGACCTCTCCCTCCCGGCGCCCGTCCGCCCGCCCCACCTCAGTCCCAGCGGTCAGTAGGACAGCACGGAACCACTCACTCTGCATCGGTTCGATTGAACTCCAACCGACAAGGGACACAACAAGAGATTGGGATGAAGAAGAAACTCAAGAACAGAGCGCCGTCGGGAGTACTCGGGAGTCCCACGTCGGCCACTTATAATTCTGCACCGGATTGGGACGCCAAAAGGAACGTCGGCCGTCGAGGAAAGCCCATCGATCACAGCCATCTACGTGCTTCATGGCCACCCGATCTGCGCCTCTCGAGACTCCCGGCACCTTAGGTACTCGCCGGCAATACTAATAATAGGTTGAGGATCAACCTGTGTGAAGTCGGATTTGTTGCGCATGAGTTGGTGATACCTAATAGCACATACTATGTATTCCTCGTCGTAACCCCGCCGAGCCGAGGACCCTGTTCGGACAAGTCATTGGCTGTGACCCGTGCGCTTGATCGACGTGTGCTGGCATCCAGCTATTCGTAGGGATGGTGCTGTCAAAGCCTAGTGACGGGCAGCATCCTAATCACTTACATTGGGCATATCGTGCACGTCACTCCCCCCCCCCCCCCCCCCCCCCTTTATTTTCTTCTTCCAGGATTCGGCAGTCATTTCAACGATGGGCCTCTCCGCGCGGCCAAATGTTTGCTTACTTGCTTGGCGTTTACTATCGACGGAGCTGGCAAGGCCATTTTACGGTATATCGGGCTGATGGTAACACTGCTCCCTCGATCCAATCATCGGCGGGGCGCTGCAACGCTCGAGCCTCCAGCTGCTACGTGGGTATCTATCCTGGCACGTACGCATGAATTCACCTTGGAATAGCCCAAGGACCTTGCTTGCCTGTTTGGCTTTGCCCAGCGGGCTCCGAGTGGTTGGAACTAGATGCGAAACTCTCCTCTCGGCCTTCTTTAGGAGGAGATTAGTTACACTACTAATCAATCAACGTCAGAAACGTCCGCTCAGACTCCAACCAGCAGTCAGCCCAATCATCGGACGATATCTCAGCGCCCCGGCACTAAAGGGAATGAGGGTGCCGACTGTTGTCAGTTGTGTAGCATCCGCTCAAACGAAATGTGTCAGTTGCCAAAATGAACGATTTCGCACCTCCGATGACACCAGCAGCACTCACCAAAAGCCATGGCAGCCGCTGGCAACGTACTATCTGCAGATGAGATTGTCCAATGCCGCTGCATACCTCCTCTTTCTTCTACCAACATCAAGCTCCGGGCATGGCGCTGCGCTCAGCCCAGCCTTGCTCGGATCTGCCAAGACCCTTGTATTCCAACAGATGGCATGAGCTGTGGCACTAGATGGGACACCACGGTCCTTGTATAGCACCATGCGGCACAGTTCGAACGGCAGCAGAGCTACCTCTGATTATATTATAGCGCATTGTACCGAACAGTCTTGCTATGCCTAAGCCGGCTAAGGTTATGGAAGCCTTACCGTCACTTTGCTACCGTAATCCTGGAGCGCTGGGTTACGGCTTACTCGGCCGTCATGATCCGTATCGGCGCTGCAGCCGGAGTCGGAAAACATAAGAAGTGGGTCTGCACGGGGCTCGAACTATTGAAGTAATACATGGACAGCCTGAGTTCAGTATGGTAGATGGACGCACATTACCTCTCATCATGGTTTGTTGACTCGATTCGGCATGGCGCAGGACAAATCTGTACAACTTAGCCGTGTAACACCACGTCCAACTAGTTATGCCGGCCAGGTTCGTTGATTTCCTGCGTTCAGCGGCGATGCTGACGGCCGCAGCCACCTACAGCTTAGATACTGCGGCTCTCTTTACGACATGGCGGAGTTGACTTGTTGACGAATATATGAGAGGTTTACTAAGACGAGATCTACCCGCATAAGGGAATTGTGGAAAAAGCAACGAGCGGCGGTGGGACTTTGAAAGTTGTCGAAGCGTGACGAACGATCTCACTCAGCATCAGAGTACTGGGACGTCCTGACAGGCGGTGTACCCGAACGAAGGAACGTGGAGAGCGACGTGGCGAAGGATGCGTATGCGTCCTTTCATTCAGTAACACCCGTGTGACGTGTTCGAGGGCTGTTTGAAACCAAGCCGACGAGTTCAAAATGAGAGCGCCGATGATGGTGCATGTCGCGACAGTGTTTACCGTCGCTTCGTTGTCACGTTGGTAAGGTCGTCCACGACATATGTGGTACGTTGTGCTCGGGATTCCGCTTCTCCTCATCATTAGAGGTTCAGCGTGACCGAATACAGTCTCTGAACGAAAGATAGCATGGTCAGAGAAATACACTGAAGGCCCGAAATACATAGTATCTGCTCGCAGAAAGTGTACCCTTGCTTCGGACTACAGTAGCCGAGAATCGCATCTGGAATCGCCGTTCAAGGAACAGCATCCTACCCCTGGGTTCAACCTGACCTTTGAACGCCCTCTTCTGCAGCGTAATGTAGAAGAGGGGCTGCTAGGTTAAGCGTATCGCTGTCACCTCTGTGCACTCGGGTAGGTAGAAACTGATACCGGAATAATGCGGTTTGCCGTAGTGTTCAGAAGCACCCAAGGTATTACGCCCGCCGATTATCATGCACTACGTCTGGCAGTCAACTGTTGCATGAACTACCGACCCATAGGCATCACTACTACTTCTGGGGCTGCGAGAGCAGAATGAGGCCGGAGCGAGACGGAAATTGGCCAAGAGCCGTGGCTGGAGAGCGGGAACGTGACAGACGCCGGTCGCTGGGGACGTAAGCTTCGATGATGTTCCCCAAGGGACTTTGTACGACTGAGAGCGATGATGGCAAGTATGTGAAGAGAGCAGGAAGGCCGACAAGAGGGGAAATGACAGGGGAAGCAGAGAAGATGACTCCAGACGGAGAGAGAGAGAGAGAGAGAGAGACGGAGCAGTGATTTCTCCCGACTGACATACGAATGATCACAATATGACCTGTCTGGATGCGGTTGGTTGCCTTTCAATGGCTCCCATCGGTGGACATCAGTCTAGCCGGTTGAAGATAAATGGTCTTGTTACGTATCATTTATTAACATGCGAGATCAACCAAGATAGTCAATTGCATGGTCGACCCAGCATGCGTACATGCATGTTCTCCCATATACCAGCATCAGGCTGCATCATCTAGTGTTTACAAGTCATCACGTCATCCAAGCCATTCCTAGCAGATGATCGGAATCAAGTGGCGGTCTTCCCATGTCATTCCAAGCATATATACCAGACCAAACTCCGGGCCGGTTTCCTTCCCTCTCATGTAGTCATTAAGCCTTGTCGTCTTTGGGCGAATCTCCTTCGGCAGGGCCCTTGGGCGAGGTCTTGGGCTCCTTCTCCTCCGTCTCAACCTTTTCGACCTCGCCGTCCTTGTCAATCTCGACCTTCTTGGCCGCGCTCAGGTCCCAGTCGATCTCAGCGCCAGCGCCATACCGGGTTACCAACCACTCGTTAGCCTTCTTAAAGTGGCCGCAGTCGAAGAAGCCCCTGGATGCGCTGAGCGGGCTGGGGTGCACACTCTTGAGGACCAGGTGCTTCTTGGTGTCCACCTTGACTACGCGCTTGCCGGCGGGGGTGCCCCAGGCCATGAAGACAACGCCGCGGGTTCTTTTAGAGGCGACGAGGTCGATGACCTTTTGGGTAAAGCGTTCCCAGCCGCGGTTCGCATGCGAGTTGGCCTCGTGGGCACGCACCGTCAGGCACGTGTTGAGGAGGAGGACGCCGCGGTCTGCCCAGGGGGTCAGGAGGCCGCCCTTGTTGGGAGGCGGGGAGAAGGTTGGGTAGTCTTTCTTGAGGGCGATGTACATGTTCTTAAGCGAGGGCGGTGCCGGAGTCGGGGGACGGACGGAGAAGGCGAGGCCGTGGGCCTGGTTGTGGTTGTGGTAGGGGTCTTGGCCAAGGATAACGACCTTGACGGTGTTGAACGGGCAATGGCGGGACCTGCGCTCTTGATTAGGGCTGGTTGTGCCAAAGCCATGGGCCGCTGAAGGATCAGAAACATACCAAGAGTACACGTCCTCCTTTGGAGGAAACCATTTCTTTCCAGCATCTGATTCCCGGTTCAGGAAGCGCTTGAGATCAAGAAACTCCTTGCTGGTGACCTCGTCCTTGAGCAGTGCCAGCCAGCTCTCGTGCAGCGTGTCGATCTCGAGCTGTAGCAACTCCTTCTGCTCGGCCGTTAAGCCGGCAATCCATTTGGCCTTGTCAAACTTGTCGGCGGGCGACGCCTCCGGAGCGCCCGCACCACTCGCCTTGGCCACCGGCTTCGGGGCCCCGAAAAATGACATGATACTGCCATCTTGCTTGGGCTTCTTGTTGTCCGTGGCAGACAGCGTACCGGCCTTGCGTTTGAGCGTCGACATTTTTACGCGTGTAGAGGAGTAGGGGCACGAGGTCTGCCCGGAGAGAGATCAGAGGGAGGTGATGACGTAGAACAACAGCCTCTAGCCGAAGGCGGATGGAGTGGGCTGCGAGACTGGCGAGGCGTAAACGTAAAGGCTCGATTATAATGGATTTGGAGAAGAATCGGTACAATAGGTCATCAATGGAAACTATCAGTCTAGTTCAATGAGAAGCAAAACAGAACAAAAGTGAAGAGGAGAGAGGGAGAGATGTGATGTGGATGTGGGTGTGGATGTGGGGGAAGGGAGGTTGGATTCCTCGAAGCATGTACGGATATGTAATCGAGATTTCTCAGCCTTGGTTTAAAGGGTGAAATGCCGGCTTGCGGACCGTCGCGTGTTGACGCGCCATCGGCGAGAGAAAAAAAGTAATTAACGCGTCCAGAGGGTTTAAGTGGTTGGTAGCCTGTAGGGACGGAAAGCGGTCTAGGAGCTGCAGCCCTGCACCGGCCCCGGCGACTTGGTGCGAGAGAGGTGGATTGCCCCTTGAGATTCTGCCATTTGTCTCCTACTGCTGTTAGGACGAAACGAGATGGTGACTTCATACCCTCTAATTCTATGCTTCCTCGTTCATACATAATTGGTCACTGCGTCTTGTCAGCGCATATCTTGCGGGTTGTCTTGAATCTTGGTTCGTCTCCAGAGTCCATAAATCGAAATGTCAAGGAAGCCACTATGTGGGGGGTGGGGGGTTGGTATCATTACACTTCAACTACATAGATATACACTTTTTGGTTCTGCCATGTCTAACCCAAACCACCACGGTGTGCCTTTTGACGTGCTAACTCCAGGCCCCGGGTCTCTTCCCACTCGTCAATAACAGCCCGCTCAACGCCCGGTAATGCTTGGAATAAAAAAAAATAGTCGCGATGCTTCGGCATTAGTCTCTGTCTCTTCTGGACTTCTCGTTCACGCTCCTGAACGTCCGCTTCCCAACCTCGTAGCTGCTGATCATAATGGCGCAAGCTGGAGCAACTTTCAGAGTCCGGGGGATCCATCCTTTCCACAGGCCCCCGATTCCTTCGGTCGTAAATATGTGCCAAAGCAAGCGCACCATAGAGCCTTGCTCAGCTGCAGCCGCCTTGGTGGCATTGGCTCCGGCCGCCTGACGCGGTGAGTCACGGTAGACCTGCGTCCTGGTCTTGCCTACGTCGAACGGCATCGTCACTATCGACGCGAAACCGCCGGATACAGCACCAGCAATGAAGCTGTCCGTCAATGTTTCCGTGTGATTCTCCCGACTCTGAGACCGGCGCCGCACCTGTTGCCGCGAGCCTCCAGTTTCTAGAGTCCGACCGCGGCGGGTCTCTCGCATATCTGTCAGCTTGCCGCGGATCGTTTCGTATCCCCACCAGTACAGGCCCGAGAAGGGCACATCCCTCCACAAAGTCAAGGTCAGCCCCCTCCACAGCGAAGTGTAGCCACTGCTGTTGACCATCTCCTTGATGCCTCGGAATGTGTTCGCAAGATGGCCGGTTGTTGAATTGCCAGTCGATGCTTGCATCCTCGTGCGGAACAGTTCGATCGGACTAACGGCGGCTGCGGCCAGGACCCGAGCTCCGGCGCCAGCAACAAGTGGGGCGGTATCTTCGTTGAGCTTCTGGGCGATGGGACTCTTGTCATTGTATCGCAACCAGTCGTAGCCAGTGAAGTAGATGATGTTTCCAGGGATTGTCATCAGCAAAGTCGGGGAAAGACCCCTCCATAAGCTAGTGAACCCCTCATTCCGCGCAATCTTCCTCAGCCCGTCCATGGTCGAGCTGATTGTCTTGCGTTCAACCTCTGCGACGGCGCAATCGGTGGCCGCGCCGGTCGCGACGCCCTCTGCAGCTCTCGGCATTGCGAGGCATAGTTCAGAGCTATTGTTCATGAAGAACACTTCGCGACAGCACGCGGTAACTCCGAGGTTCGGTGTGTTGAAAGTTTTCAAGTTGTTGGTCGTCATAGCAAGTCGCGAGAAATCTACCGTCGGCGGCGTGACGTTCTGGGATTGCCATCGGATTCGGACAACATCGAGCGGTGTCACTGGGCAAGCGTGTTAGCAATGGCAGACGGGCCGAGGCGCAGAAGACAGTCTCACCTAGAAGCGACGTCAAAAGACTGCCCGACATGGCCGAGATCATTTTCTGCGACGCCGTAATATCATCGTCGCTTCCTCCGCCGCCATCGTTCCGGGGCGGGGCTATGTGCGCCATCGGAAAAGAGTCATCGGGATCGAATATGTCGTGATCCTGGCCTACGGTGGCCTGGTGAATTGTGGTCATTGCGGACAAGCTTGCATGGTCGGAGAGGTCGGAGCTAGGAAAAGGTGTTGCAGTCATCTGCTGTTTAGTGCAACAAGCGAAGTTGCGGATGACGGTCGGTAGGTGAGGGGAAAAGCAAGCTTTCACAAGATTTTATGGGAGAGAGATGAGAGAGAGAGAGAGAGAGAGAGAGTGTGTGTGTGTGTGTGTGCGTGTGTGAAGTTGACCTTACCCAGTTCGCCAAAGTCGGCTCGTCATGACTGCGAAATCGGGTGCGCGCTCCGACATCTGGTCCTCCCCAAAAAATTTGCCGGAGATAATGAAATGAATGGGTGGCGCGCGCCAGGGCGCCTTGCTGGCCGAGCCGAGCTCACAACCGTTTGGGTGATGTCACGGACCGAGCGCCCGTGCCAATTGGTTGGCCCTGGTGTGGCCCCCCAAATGTCACCGATAAGAACCACATCGGTGGGGACCTTGCCGAGTGACTACACCTCGGCGTGCTCTGCTTACAACACAAGGTCGATGATGAGTGGTCGGCTTTGACTACATATCATCTCGGCAGATTCACTTTTACAAGCGAGTATCAAGAACTCCGAAATCGCCACTCGAAACTAGCACTCTGGTAAATCTCGACGTTCTCTCTCGCCCATGTCGCTCTCACAGGATTGACGGCCCTCTACAGCTCAGTATCCCTGAGCATCGTGTCCGTCTCGCAATTATGGCAGACCAGCCGCCGCCGCTCGATTCCGAGCTGGAGTCGTTTCGGCAACAATGGCGCTCGGAACTCAAGACGAAGAAGACAGTCCTAGAACCCCAGTCTTCACAAACCAATAAGAAGGCCCCGTCATTCTCCAACCCATCCGTCCTGGTGGAGAGCTCAAGGGCCGTAGTGCCCAAGAGACACCAAGTAGAAGAAGATGAGGAATATGCCCGCTCCCTGGTATTTGATGAGCCGGTACCTTCACATTCACCTTCCGCGTCTGCTGTGGAGGAACACGCGCCCAGTCAGGTTGAGGAGCCAGTATCGGCCTTGGATCATTTTGAGGCAGCCGTGGAGAAGGAGGCGATCGGAAGCTTGGGCGATAGTCTGAAGCTGTACCGCAAAGCTTTCAGGGTCAGTATTCCACTTTTCCATCGTCGATGGGACAAGAAGCTAACCCTGGGTTGAAGATGGACAGCCGGGTGGACTTGGCATATAGAAAGAAGCACTTTCCTCCAGCCGCCACAAAACCGGCTCAACCGTCGGCGTCAAACGCGCCAACAGTAGCGGGGAAGCCGCCAGAGACGCAGCAACAGACCATGAGCGAGCTTATCGCCAGCTTCTCCGGGCTTTCCGTGGCCGCAGCGCCTCCGCCAGTGGAGGGAGATCCGGCGCCTCCCTGCCCCATCGCAGAAATGCCCCAAGAGATTCTGGTCCACATCTTCAAAAGCGTGGCTGTCCTCGACGTCGGGGACTTTGTGCGCCTTGCTTTGGTATGCAAGCGGTTTGCTTACATTGTCGCCACCGAACAGCAGATCTGGCGGCGCATCTGTCTGGGCCCGGAGTTTGGTTTCGCTGGAATGCATTACCACTGGCAAAGGGGCGTCTTCTGGGAGCCTCTGGAGCAAGAGGAAGACACGGGAGACCTGGAGTACGTCAGCATGGAGGAGCTCGCGCAGCGCCGTAGGGAAGAGAGTGAGGCCACGACGTTGGCGCTGCTGCCGGAGATCTATTCGTCTTCATGGCAGAGGATGTTCAGGCACCGGCCGAGGATCCGGTTCAACGGCTGCTACATAAGCACCGTCAACTACATCCGCCCCGGTCAGGCAGACGCCAACCAGATCACCTGGAACACCCCTGTGCACATCGTCACGTACTACCGGTACCTGCGCTTCTTCCGCGACGGCACCGTCATCAGCCTTCTCACCACCGACGAGCCCGCCAGCGTCGTGCACTACATGACCCGCGATCTGCTCAAGCAGCACCGCGGCGGCGGCGCGGCCCACCTGCCGTCGCTTGTTATGCAGTACGGCCTCCGCGGGCGGTGGCGGATGTCCTCTGTGCTGGACCACCCGGATGTGCCCCTTGGTGAGACCGAGAACGATCTATTCATCGAGACGGAGGGGGTCGGGGCAAAGTACACGTATAGGATGCATTTAGAGGTGCGGAGCGCTGGGAGCAAGGGCGCGCGGAACACCAAACTCATGTGGAAGGGTTTCTATAGCTACAACAAGGTGACGGACGACCTGGGCGAGTTCGGGCTGAAGAACAGCAAGTCCTTCTTTTTCAGCAGAGTCAAGAGTTACGGCATTGGGGAGTGAGTCCTCGCTCGCGCAGTAGACGAATGAAGCTCGAAGTTAAAGCTGGGCTGCTCATTTTCCGCAACTTTTGGAAATACCAACCTACTACGACGTATATCCGCAGCATCTTACAAATTATACTCATCGCAACACCTTACCACCTTCACGGCCGTCTCGCACTGTGTTCCGGATCTTGGCCCACCCATCGCTCCCCAGCGCCACCCACAACGGCACCTTTAGCTCGGTCGTAATCCCGCTCCCATCGCCTGACGAGCTCTAGCCTTCGCCGCGGCGTGGCCCCGTACACCCGGACACGCGAGGCCGGATCGACGCCATCTTGTGGAACGCCTGGGTGCGGAACTAGCCCGGCTTCGCGATAAGAACCTTGAGACCGGGGGCGAGGGTTTCGACGTGCCTCGACGGGTCTTGACGGCGTTCTTGGGGTTGCTTATTCGAGCGAGTCTCTGCTTCGCCGGGAATTGGCGAGGGGGCTCTGGGGCCCGGGAGGCTCGCCTTCCAGCGCGAACTTGCTCATGTAGGACGCACCTCTCCCTGAACAGATCCTACGCGTTGTTGATCTCGACTCGGACCTTGGTCTCGAGCGCCGCGACGTCGAGCTCCATGATACAAGCCCCGGTGTCCCGCAAGCGCGCCATTCTTACGTCAGCACGCCCGGTTCGTGATGGCGATGGCGTTGTCGTCCTTGACTGTCAGCTTCCTCGTCAGCCCTTTAAGGATCTTGATCCTACCGTATGTCACCCACATGAGCCAGTCAGAATCTACAAATTCATCGATCGAGCTTCTTCGTTGGGGAGATGAACGGGACGGCACAGAGCGGACGAAGTAGCTGGTCCTCCATGTAAACCCGGCTAGACGGTTTTTTTTTTTTTTTTTGCTGTTGCCTTTGATTCTTATTGATCATAGATTACGGCCCATGCGCGGACCTGGAAAGTAACTGTGACTTGTAAAATGTATCAGACAGAATGCTAAATCGCTACATTGATGGCAAAACGCCCCGACACCTCGCAGAATGCTGGTGTTTTTTGATGTTGTTGTTCCCTTGCTTTCCCGCTTTGCGGGCCCCTTATCCCAAGTGATGTGAATAGATAGATATAAAAAAGTGCACTATGTGTTTACGATGTCTTGACAAGGCAAGAATATATCATCGTAAGCAAATAGCGATGATGGATGCGCCTAAATGCTGTGATGAAGGCCCGGGGCATCAATGCTAGGCCTCTCTGTAGAACAGTGCTGTGAAGATCACAACATGGCGAATTCGAGAGAGTTGGACTACTGGCGTGGCGCTCACAGATTGGTGTGGCGTCGTGAAACGGTTCAGATGTGACAGTAGGAATATGGCTAATAGGGCGGTTAAGATCAGACCTGGCCGTCTCACCGTGGCGTCACCCTCTTTCCGTCCAGGAACTTGGGGCTTCTGCTGTCGTAGTAGATATTGGGGACCTCCTGCTGTCGTCGCGCCTCATATACCTGACGCTCTTCTTCGTCGAGAGAGAAGGCTTTCTTCAACCAGCCAAAGGCGCTGCGCTTCTTTTTGAGTCGTTTCTCTCCGCTAGCCATCATTTTCGAGTCGTATGTCATTGTGGTGACTGTGCTCAGCATACTTGCGCCCCCAAGACGAGACGGCACATTTCTCTGGTGTGCGGAATGGTACCCAGGGTGACTTTCGTATAGCGACCTAGGCTGCGCACCCGCGGTGAGTGGCCTCTGTTGTAGCGGAGAGTGAGGACTTGCTTGTACAGGGCGGTAAAATTGATGCTCGGACCGCGGAGAAGGTAGCACAGGTGGCAAAACCGGGGGAGAAAGCTCATTGGCCGTGGGATAACGCGGCCGTTGTTCAACATCTGATCCATAAGCCGAATCCGGGGCCTGGTATTCTTGAGGCGATTCTTGCCTAGTATGGGGAAGATCTCTCGCTGGCGGCGGAATCAGGATTGACTCGGGTGGAGTCGTCTTCAACGAGACACGTTGCCGAAGCGAGGTCCTCTTTGACAGCATGGGCGCTTCTGGCTGGGGCTGGTTTCTGGCTGGTTCTGCCGTGACAGGTGACGGGATAGGCTCCGGTGGTTGCGGGGTATACGTTCGTGGTTGGAGAATGTAAAGCGAGGCATCATCCAGGGTCACCTCCACCTCTACATCACTCACAGGCTCCGACACAGGTCCATCGGGGGCCTCCAAGGTCAACATTGGTGTGGTTGGGTGTGCACTCCCGCTGGCGCTGCGCATAGTGTTGCTTGTGTGTGTGCTACCATATGAGTGCGTGGTTCCGTGGGAATTCGATGACTTCTGTGAGTTTGAAGTGCTCTGGGAGCGTGTGGTATGAAATGAGTGCGTCGTGCTGTTCGAGTATGATGTTTGATGTGATTCAAATGACTGCTGGCTTGGAGAAGCGGCCGGTGATGGTCTCTGCAGCGGCATATCAAAGTCAAAAGACGTGGCGCATGAGCTGACGCTGTACGCGCGTAGGGTTGACCGCCTTATAGCCCTGGAGGATGGGGGTGAAGACGGCGGAGAGTTGAGCGTGGCTTCTTCGGTTCGAGCGCCTTGTAAAGGTAAGGTGAAGGGAGGAATACTGGCCTATAATCTTGTCAGCATCGCGCAAGCGATAACACGCGAGGCTTTGACTCACCCAGGTCCTCCGACTTACTTCGCCGGCCTTCTTACTCATTTCTGCCACCATTATCCCAAGCTTGGTGACCAGAGAGTTCAGCTCCTTGCCACGAGCCTGCAACTCCACGAACGCATTGTACCAGCCCTCGGTGTTGCCCTTCATGGCAGTGTAAATGCCAACGAGGTCTGAGCGATCTTGACGCCAAGTGCCCGCATTTTGCTGACCCAGGTAAATGGCAAACTCCTTGGTTGCGGCCAAGCCCTGCTGCACATCGTTGTCGTACTGTTGGAGCTGGACGTTGGTGCGGGCCACGATGTGCTCAATCTTTTCGTTTCCTTGAACGATCTCGAGCCGAAATTTACGACCTTCCAGCATCTTTTCAAAGGCATCTGTGTTCTCCATGGGCAGACGGAGATAGTCGATCCTCTCCTTAATATCCTTGGTCGCCTGATCGAAGTCTTCCATGACCACTTCAAGAAACTCATCCACCTCGTCGATATGTCCCTGCAGGATGCTGACAACCTGAGCCGCGCTATTGGCCATGCCATGCAGCAGCAAGTACACACCGAAGGATATCTGAGCCATAAGCTTTTGTAGCTCATGCTCCCGCTGGCCAGGCCGATATCGCCAAAGCATATCGGGCAGATCGTCATCGCGCTCCTGGCTGATGAGCTCCTCGCGACGACCCTTTGCGTCGGCAAATCTGAGCTTTGGCTTGTCGGATGGGTTACCATCAGCGACCTCGAGAAACGATTCGGCAAAGGCTGCTTGCATTGACGGAATGGGATGGTAAGGGACTTTGGGACCGGCCAGTGCTGGGGATCCGGGGCTGGTTCGGCATATGCTGCGTTCTGGGATCCGGGGTCCGGTTGCCGTAGTGGGCGTCCGCTGAGCATCCTCATCGCTCTCATAGATGGGCGAAGGATGGCCGTCCGACGGAGGCAAGAGAACAACGGGGATACCCAGACTCAAGTCGAGGCTATTGCTGGCCCCGAAGGACATGCGCGGAAAGCCGGTCGATGTAGCCATGGCGTACAGGAGCTGCGTCGCGGGAGCTATCGACGAGCGGCAGAAAGCATTGGTGTGCGACGACTGTCACAGCCGCTCGACGAAGCGGGCGTATCGGAGGATAATCGGTATCGTAGGATGTGGCAGGGCGAGGAGCCAAGCTGGTGGCGCGCAATGTAGGACGCCGTGCGACGCGGGCGCTTAGGGAGAACAGGTTGTCGGTCGGAGGCGAGGAATAAAGGTCGAGGTTGGGCAAAGAGGCAGCCGCGCGAGAGTTGGGTAGAAAACAAGGCTGGTGTTCAGCAGTCGCACATAGACATGACAGGCAGGATATCCCCTGGTTGGTGAGGGGGCTGAGAAGGAGAGGGGCGAGTAAGAATAGATCCGGGGTCGGGTCGTCGTAGTGGTAGAAGAAGGGTGGTGGGCGAGAGCGAGCAAGGAGGTAAGGCCAGAGCAGGTAAGGTATAGAATATAGTGCGAGGTGGGATGTATTAGTATTACGGCCTAGGTTGGTTGAGACTAGGAAGCGAAAAGATGAAGAATTGCAAGGGCCAAGCGATGGACGAGGGGGGGGGGGGGACGCGGAGGGTTAGTCTTGGGCGACACTGGCGGAAGAGAGCATTCCAGACGAGGCTCGACCGGCCCCAACGGCAAAGACGCGTCGACGACAGCAATGAGTGAGGGCAAGGTGAGCGAGAGAGGTGTATAGTGAGGTCGGAGTTCTTGGGACGTTGGAAAACGAAAAGGGCTTCCGGTTTGAGAAAAAGCGCAAAGGAAATAATAGAGCAAAGAGGCTGCTCTCTGGCTGGAAGATGGATGGAGAGGATGGATGCCCTGGACAGCAACGCCAAACCCTGGGATGAGAGACAGAGTGGATGAATGGCTCGAATGCTGGGGAGTAAGGTACACGAAGGCAAGACCGACCAGGGCAGGTAGTGGTGGTAGTGGTGGTGGTGGTGGGAAAGGAAAAAGGAAAAGAGCAATGTATCTTTCGACGCTACCCACTGTACGGATACCGAGGAGTGTAATGGTGGGACTACCTAAAGTGGTAGTGCAAGGTACGGAGCGAGGTCAGTTCAGGTACGGATACATGAGCTCAGGTATCCCTACCCGAGATGGACACGATCTCAGGAGGGCAGATCAGATACCGCATACCCAAGTCACCACTAATAGGTACTTATGTATGGATACTAGCTAAGTATATAGTAGGTGCATTCTAAGCCCGTGAGACAAGGCACCGTAGTTACCACAATTCCTAGGACCTGTCTGTAAGGTTATCTATCCATCTAGAGCCCTCCATTCTGGCTTGACGCCAACCTGTCGTTCATGGCCATCACCAGGGCTTCGACATGCGACTAGTGTAGAGAGAAAGGGAAAGAGAAAGAGGACATCAAGTGCTACTGTGTACGAATATCGACCTAGTGCTGTTGGTTGGCACTGGGTCTGACAGTGACATTGGTGGACATTTTCGGTGGTGCACACATGTACATTTCCTAGTGTTTGTGCGCGGGAGAAACCTGCCTACCTCGGGTAGGTAAGATACTTGCTGTCGTATGTATCTATACTTGACTGTTTCGACCACCGCCGGGACAGCGGGGGGGAGACGAACGCTTCGCTGAGCTCCCTTTCCCCTCCTCCCAGGAACACGTCCTTGCGTGTCCCATCCGCGCGCGGCCTTTGTTGGTTGTCTTTGTCACATTGCTTCTCCCATTATCCGTACTGGGGCCTTTTTCTTACTTTCCCTTGGGTTTATTTTCCTTCCTTTCGCTTCTCCTCCGGTCGCCCATAGCTATAGCTCGCTCATCTGGACACCCAGCCTAGCGCACACGGGATTCGTCATCTTAGGTAGCAATTCCAACCAGCTAATCCCCTTGTCCTGGCAATCGCATCACTCATCTACCTACACAACCTCCTTCTAAGGCAGTCGTGTACTAGTAGGCGCCTTCATGTACCCCCCCCGGCGAGCCGAGGAGGGTGGAACCTAGCAACGCCCGCCCACCGCCTCCTTAGAGAGACTAGAGACTTCAACATGCACCACCACCATCAAGTATTTCCCTTCACCCCATGTCGCCAGTCCCCTTTTCGCACTTAGTCTTCTCTTGGTTGCAACCCAGACCCCTGAAGAAAACGGGGGAAAGACATGGCAGGACAGAGTCCCATACCACCACTTGGCCGCAGGGGCCCTCGGCCCAGAACCCCAGACCAACTTTGATGAGTCTCACCTCGCTCATTCTCAGTTGCCCATGCAGTCGCTTTGGACTTTAGCATCCATGACAGACGGTGGCAGGACATCCTGAACCTGGAACTACTACTATGTACATGTCACGTCGCGGCAGCGTTGCGTGCTGCACTCTGACGGGCTTTAGTTCGCCCCTTGCTCAGGCGCAGACTCAGGTTCAGGGATCGCGGATGCTGTCACGATGCGCGCAGCGCAACCAAGCACGCCGGAAACCACCAACTTCGGTGGCCTGATGGCCATATTGTTGCCGACCTCTCCCGGCCCCGTTCATCGTCTGCCCCCCCATCCCGGATATTGGGCTGCCAAGCTTACAATGATAAGGATAAGGCGATGGTACTCCGTATAGACAGAGTAAAATGCAACGACATGCTTCCGGCTCTACTAGTGACTGACTCCTGTCACCAAATACTGAACACTATACGGCGATGTCTGCAGATGCTGTGGCTGCCACTCTCCCGTTCAACGAAGGTAATAGAAAGAGGAAAAAGGAAAGAGCGGAGAGGGAAAGTAAACCAAATGAATGCTCGCCCGCTTCTTGTTCCATCCCTTGCCTTACATCTGCTGCCGGTCTAGGCACTGGCATGTCTGGAACACCATCGCCGCGGTGCTGCCATTGTTGCCGCCTGCGCCGATGAGATAGATACCTGTGGAAGGCATGTCTTGCTTTCTACAGACGTGGAGGGAAAGGTATCTATATGTACTAAAGTAGGCAGGCATTGCACTGACACACATGTATACTTGTATACACACACACACACACACACACACACACACACACGTATATACACACGTATATACACATACCGTACTCCGTACGCTAGCACAGTTTACCTATGTACGCACATTCTATTCGGCAGGTCGGCAACCAGCGCAAACAACCCGTAATGCGTAGCCATCGAGTTGCGATTCATGCGTGCCATGTTCACTGTGAGAAACAGACCTGCCGCCATTGACCCAGTAAACGCGCGCTGCAGTTCGTCAGCCACCAAGCACGGCGACTTTTGCACCTGGAGATGCAGCCCACAGCACCCGTAAAAAAAGAAAAAGAAAAAAGACTATTTGCTTGGTGCAGGGACGAGGCTCGATTGGGATTGAACCCCTGCGGATGGCAGCCAGTCTGGGACTTGGTCTCATTACGCCCCCTCCTCATCATGCATCCTTTTGTCACCCGCTCTCTACCCTCTACCCCATTCCAGTAGGCATCATCCGGCCAATTGATAATTCGACCCCATATGACGGGATCAAAAGGGCAACATGGGGCACTTGATCGGGCCTTAACGTGCGGGAGCCCCTCTCTCCCTGTCTCTTGATCTACCTACTGAATATTTGGGTGTCACACATGGTACCTAGGTACTCTGTACGGAGTACGGATACGCAAATCGACTTTACCGTCGTCGTGCTCCGTTCGACCTGCCATTGGGTGTCCATGTGGAATGGCATGTGACTTCTCTCTGCAACCTTGCTCCTGAAGAGGCGCCTTTTCTTTTTTTTTTTTTCTTTTTTTCCTTTTGTGACTGTCGGAAATGAAATAAAGTAAAATAAAATAGGGATGATCATTGGTACAACCAAGAAAGCGTTGTAATCGGCTCTGCTTGTTATCGCCAGATTGCTCCTCCGAATCGCCGCCCTACATCATCCGCCCGGGACTGCACTGCACGCGTCGCCGAGCGGCAACTGCATTGGCAATCCCTCGACCACTACGGTACACTATCCAATGTGCATCTTTTTACAATGGTATTTACACTACCACATAGACTCTGTATATATGTATGCCCCGCCAGTGAGAGTGGCAGCTGCCGACGTGCCTAGTCTCCAGCCTCACGGCCTTTGGTGAAGCGGCGAGGCTACGCCTCCTGACTCTCAAACCGCCGACCAGTTCGCTTCACGACGCTCACCGTCTCTTTGTCGCTGCTTGACACGAGACACAGGCTCACTGTCCCGATCGATCGGTCTCATCTCCCGTCCAGAGCCCGCTTACTCCCTTTGGCCGGCCCCCTCTAGGGGGGGAGAACGTTATGTATTGATGAAATAGCACATTTGGCGTCCACACCGACCAGCTTGGGCTCATGGCCCCGCCCCCCCAAGGCTTCATTGGCCGCCGTTCAGGATTGGTCACGACATCCCTGACGTGTGGCTCTACCGAAAAAAAGATGAGAAGAGACGAGGAACCGGAGACAGAGACGAGATGAACGGACGAGCCCCGTTGAGTTCGTTCGAAAACCCCTAGCGCTAAGCATAAACCTCGTCCGTGCGGACAGCCGTTCCAACCATGGAAGCTGAAATTTTTTACCTAGGTAGCGCTCCAGAACTCCATCCAACAAACAGAAGCTTCGCTCCCCGAGGGGTTGGAGCCGTCGATCTCAGCCCGGATAAGTTGTTCTCTTCTCCCCGTCCAGGTCTAGTGTACCACACGCGAAGAGCGGTGGCTGCTGTGCGGCCCATTGTGGCTCGTAGAAACCAATAAATGGCCCAAACCGAGTCAGGCCAAGGCTTCTTCTCAATTGATGACTGATGCTGCCTGCTTCTGGCAATAGCCAATATTGGGTCGACGGAATATTGGTCCTTTCGATGATTGCCAGTCCACATCTTAAGAGACGAGTACTACATATAGACTACCTACTCCGTAGTTGAATACGACATAGGAAGATGGGTGATGGGGGCCCTTTTCAGGATGACGGGCATGACGACGCGACATGGACCACATTCTACAGGGCCTGGGTGGGACTCGCGCGATGCTGCTTCCGTGTTGCCGTGGTCAAGGGGCTACTCACTTGTCAACAATATGGCTACACTGTGGCTCCTGTGGGACTACTACTATGTAAGGCGTTGGTCTCCTTTCGGCCCCTCGCGCTATACGCGGATACAGGTACCCGTCTCCATCCAGGATTGATTGCTTCTTTGCTGGTTCCCCCACCAAGGGTCGGAGAGTGGTGACCACATTGGCGTCGCAAGCGCGGAAATGACGGGCACCCACGATTGAGCCGTTTTTACACAACAAGCGCGGGCTGCAAGGCAATCGAGTTCCCTTATGGCAGGCACTCTTGGTTGGCCCTGGACAAGTTCTTGATCGACGGCCGGCTCGTCTGGTGGATCGGTCTACAATCTGCTAACATCCAGTTGCGAAGAAACCCTCTCTGCCTTGCCTGCTCCTGCATGAATGAGCCTCACCCCGCAACACGCGCGTCTCTAGGTACCGAGGGAATGGCAAAGGCGTGACGAGTTGCATGAGAGGGCAGAAGGATGGTAAGCCATTTCAAGCCACAATGGCTTGCATATGTCTCAGCCTTGGTATCTCACACTTCTTCTCAGCGTAGGTAGCTAGCTGCATACATACTCCCCCTCCTTAACCAAGTCAGCGTTGGCTGTTGGTACTGGATAAGAGACGCAACTAATCCTTCAAGCCAAAATTAGTCACACCTGCCGTTCATCACGGCTCATCCTCCATCCCACAAGCGCCAGCCATGCAGCGCGGTACCGCAGTCAAGAGCCCATGTATATCTGTCTGTACACATCTAGAATGACGAGTAGACGCGATCCTGTAAAGAGGAGGAGTAAGTAGTACCTGTAGACAAGTTCATGAACCTCGGCGTCCCTCACCTTGCCCCCCCTCCCCTTTTCTTCTTCTGCTTTTTCTTCTTCTGTTGTTCTTTTCATTCATTTTTATTTTTTAGGCCGTATCGCCCTACCCCATACGTCCACCCGCCCCGCATCATCTCCGGCCAACTGCAGCAACGGTCAAGACCCTCTTCAAGGACCGCGCCCCTGGACCCAGAAAATCAAGAGGCCACTTCGCTTTCTCCAGAGGCCGCTGAATCCCTCGTCGTGTCGTCGCAATCCGCGCCCACTCAACCATCTTACGCATCGAGCATCACAACGTTTACCGTCGACTCCAGCTCCGTCTCTGCCGGACCCCCCGTCCGGTGTGCAGCTTCAAGGCCATATATGCATTAACAAGCCACATTCGGCAGGTGGTTACACATACTACGTATAGCAGCGACCACAGGAGATAACACGGACTCGGCTGTACACTGCCGGACGCGACATCAAACCCATCACCATCATTTTCAGGATCGGGACCAGGCCACCCCAGCAGCGACGTGATTGCGCTTCTCGGGCCAGCCGCGCTCACCCCTGCAACCCAACGACCCATACCGAGGGCCAAGCCACCTCCCCTTTCAAATCCCTCCCTCTCCGGTTCGTTGTTCGTTCTGGAAATTAATTACCCGCCGTTCTGGCTCTCAACTCCAAAACTTCATCATCACAAAGAACCAGAACAACCAAGGCACCAAAGGCCCTTTTGTCGCAAGACTCCACGAGGCAGACCACGATGCTCGCTGCCTTCCGCCTCGGGACGGGCCTGTGGGATCCGTCTCACCGGTTCGAAACCTCCTGGCTCTTGTCTCCTTACCAGCTGGGTGCTTGTCGCGCGCTCATTGTAAGTCTTGGCTCCCCCCCCCCCCCCCCCCCCCCGCGCATCTCGGCGAATCATAAACTAACAATACCGCCTACAACAGAGTCTCTACACCTTTACCGTCCGCTTCTTCGTCATCGGTTGGACGTGTTCTCGCCCCGAGTATGGCGGGTGCAAGGCCGTCGGCCAGAGCTTCTCCTACTTCACCGTCCTGACCTACTGGGGTCTGAGTTTCTACTTCCTCATCTCGGCTATCCACACTCTCACCTACGCCCGCACCGGCAGCCCGCTGCTCGAACGCTTCCCGCGCCCTCTGCAGGCACTGCACGCCTTCTACTATACCACTGTCACCACCTACCCGTTCATCGTTACCATCGTGTACTGGACCATCATCTACAAGGCGCCGTGGTACCCCGACGAGTTCAGCGCCTGGAGCAACATCTCCCAGCACGGCCTCAACTCGGCCTTCGCCCTCTTCGAGATCGTGATCCCACGCACCGCCCCCACCCAGCTTGAGTGGCCGCACCTGCTCTGGCTCGTCATTGTCCTGGCGCTCTACCTCGCCCTCGCCTACGTGACCTACTACACCCAGGGCTTCTACACGTACAGCTTTCTCGACATCCGGGCAAATGGCAGCGGCACTGTGGCCGCCTACATCGTGGGCATCGCCGTCGCTGGTATCGTCTTCTTCCTCGTCGTCAAAGGCCTTATCTGGCTGAGGATGTGGGTGACGGAGAAGAAGCTGGGCATGGATGGTAATTTTGCCAAGCAGCACTTTCTCAGCCACGATACCGAGCTGGGTACCGTCAACTCCAAGAACTGAGGTGAATGGGACGTCAAGGTGCTTTTTGAACAAGGAGAATCTAAACCACCAACCTACACGATATATTTATGCATTGTGAATGCGTCCGACGATTGCTACGGAGGGGGTTGGCGCATGGTGAAGGACTAGGAGCGGGCACCGCGCTCTTAATTATACCCCCAGGGATTTGTTGTGTCCCATGTCATGATCCTATCACGACTTAAAATGCGGCCCAGAGGAGATATGTATATCTAGTAGTGCCAACACGGTACATCACACCTGTCTAAGACGGTAGCAGAAGTAGTGCATATATGTATATATATATATATGTGTGTGTATATTCAAACAAACGATTCGCTTTAATGCTCCCTTTTGGACCGCCACGTCGAGAAAGTCTAACACTTCAACGAGATGCCTCTTCGCATCTCGGACTCTCTGATCTCGAACATGATCTGCACGCCCATGTACAGTGACGCACAGGCAATCATGAAGAACGTTATGCCTGGATACCGGGTTAGGTCAGGTACGTACCTACGCGCAAAGCTTGCTGAGGGAGGGAGGGGGGCAACACTTACCTGACCAGTCATGCAAGATGCCGTAGAGGATGCTTTGCAAGCCGTCCAGCCCCACGGCGAACCCGACGAGGTTGGCAATCATCATCATGAGCACGTTAGCGACGGCTCCAAGGCCGCAGAGCCGGCGGTATGTGTCTGGCCGGCCCTCCCACTTCCTCGCCGGAAACAGGAGCTGCGCAAGGACCTCGGGAAGGAGGAAGAGGACGATGAGCCAGCCCCAGATGAGCAGGCGCAGGCGGATATCGTGCCAGAGGGCGACAAAAGTGAAGACGAGCAGGTACGTGGCGATGGAACGGGCGGTGGTGGCCCAGGAGCGGAAATTGGCGCCGCCAAGAGGGATGTAGATGTAGCGGATGAGCCAGCGGTTGTAGGAGCGGTGCCAGGCCTTCCAGAAGGACTTTGGGGACCAGTTGTTGGAGACGCAGCGAAGCATGTTCTCAGGGGGGTCGACGCCGTCGAGGAGGGCCCAGAGGCGGAAGAGGCGCCAAGGAAGGAGGAGCTTGAGCCAGATGATGTGGAGGTTGAAGTAGGAGAGGAGGGAGAGCTGGGCGGGCGTATAGGTGGACCAATTCGGGCCCGCGTGGGAGATGGCGCAGACATATTCATAGTGGAGGATGGCCTCCATGGCGAAGAGAACGATGAGGAAGCGGACGGCGTAGCGGATCGTACGACGGGTCTCAATGGTGGCGGGCGGATAGCGGAGTTGTGAGATGAAGTCGTTGTAGGTCATGATGGGCCCGACGAGGTAGAGAGGCGCGTAGATTGCGTAGGCAAGGTAGTTGCGAAAGGAGTAGTCCTGGGGCGCGGCCGAGGTGGCAAGGCGGTCGCGCTCGGAGAGATTGGCGGGGTCGAGTTGCTTCTTCTTGGGGACGTCAGCGCTGGCGCAGAGGGGTAAACAAGTGAGGGTTGATATGTCGGCCTCACCTCTAGATGACTCTCGCTCCGCTGGTCGAGACTGAAGTAATAGTCTAGGTTGAAGCTGATGAGCCGTAGGACGGTGATGTTGAAGAGGATCTCCCAGCGGCCCATCAGCCCGCCGTGGTGGTCCATCCAGCTTCCCCAGCGCACGAGGAACGGGTCCTCGTCGAGGAGGCTCTTCCCCAAAGGCGGCGGGGTGATGTGCCGCGCAATTGCGGCGAACTTGTACCCCTGGCACAGCTCATTGGCAAAGAGCATGCAGATGTTAAAGATCCATGTCGCGGCAGGGATATGGCGGCGCGGTAGCCTTTTGGCGATCTGGTAGTTGATGTTCAGGATGGCGAGGACCTTGAGGGCGGAGAAGCCGTGCAGGGCAACGAGGAAGACCAGGGCGAAACGATAGTCGAAGGAGGCGCGCTGCTCAAGGCGGGCAGCGCCCTGTTCGGCGACGGACTTCTTGTGCAGGTCGGCGGGGACAGGGAAGACTGCGTTCCAGAGCTTGCGCAGGAGAGGGTGGAAGGTCAAGAGGATGGCCATGAATGGAAGGTTCTTACGGAAGGTGTGGTATTGTGAGTCGGATATATCCTAGAAGATCCCACGTGTGAGTTCGGGTATGGCATCGTTGGGGGTGCGGGAGGGGGTTGCCGTCACGAGGTGCGGCTTACGATCTTGCGACCCGGGATCCAACCTTCGGAGAGGAAGCGCTCGTACTTGTGATAGCGGGGGTCAGAGGCTGTAGAAGAGCAATTGGGCGTCAGCAAAGACTCCTCGGGACTTCATCTGAAAAGGAGGTGTCAACGCACGTCTTGAGACCTCGTAGGCAATCCAGAACATGTACGGCACGATGCCACCGATGAATATCACGTAGAACCAGTACTCAGGGGTGTTCCATTTTGACGGCTGCGCGTGGACCCGGACCTTGGCCGGCGACTCCTTGCTCAGCGCGGGGTCGGCGCGAGCCTCGACGACGGTCTTGTAGGGAACGGAGGAGGCGTTGGTGAAGCGCGTGTCGAGGTTGTCGAGGTCGTAGACGCTCCTCAGAAACCTGAGGAGGGCGGCCATAGCTGCGGCGCGAGCTCTTCGGAGGGAGGGGAGGGAGCTGCTGGTGCGCACGGAAAAGGGGGGCTGTAAGGAGGAAAGAAGCTAACGAGTGGGTGCTCTTAGATCATTGTCGACGAAGTGGTTGGAAATAAAGAAGCCCAAATAGAGCTAGTCGTGGGGAACGCAGTCGTTGGATAGATGGATGGGAAAAGGGGACCGCCGTTGTGGGAGATTGGAAGAGGATGCAGTGTGGTCTTATGTTCCCCCAGATGGACTGTTGCATTTCTGTCCCCAAGTGTCCCATCCCGACGGGGGGTGTTATTTTTGTAGCGCAAAACTGCCTGCTAAGCCTAAGCTTTGGGCAAGGGTCGGCAGGACCCACATTGTTAACAACTCAACTGCTAGCTTAGCTGGTTTAGCTGCACTGGCCGCAAACCCGGGGCATTCTTTTCTCCTTTGGCCAACGGAGGAGTCGGGCAGCACCCAGTTGGCGGGGAGGATCGACGGAACCCCCCCCCCCCTTTTTTTTTTGCCCTGGGCTTCGACGGAGGAGGGTCAGGGGTCGTGTCATGCCTCGGTACCAACTGCTACAGAAGTGTTCTGGCCTATTGCAGACAACAAAAGCGCGTTTAGCGAATGCAAGGTACCGTTGCTCTGTTCAACCCACACAAGGTCTTTTTTGGTGTTTTTTTTTTCTTCCTATTTGAAGTAGGTACAAATTGAACATCTTGAGAGGTAAAGCACCTACCTAGTATGCATGTCTTCTCAACATTAGTAGAATAGATGTTCCCTATACGGGTACTCCGTGCTCCTATCTATTTACATTTCGGGTTCGGCTCCGATGTGGGGCTGATAGATGCCACCACCAACGTCAAACAGAGAGACATTGGCTACCTACCTATATACTTGGATGTTTCCCGCCAAAATAGCACGAGACTTTCCCTTCGATGTTACTTGCTGTCCTTTCAATATCTTGCTTGTGGCGTCTAACCACAATTCCGGCACGCTCGTGTCTTTATGATGACGAAGACGGGCATCTCGCCCATATATATGAGATGCCTCGGCCCACGGCCAATCATCCAACGCGTAATCCGGCGACGAGGCTCATCAAGGCCACTTGGCAGCACGTGCGTTGTTTGTTCAGGGAAACCGGACGCCAACTTCATGGCAGGTGGAATTTCGGCTTCAGCCCAGATGATCCCAGCACGTATGCCTGTGGTCCTGCTTTCTTCGGTTTGGCGAGATTTATGTCGTTGGAGTGGCCTGTCGGCACGCGACGAAGGGATTTGAACGGTACCATCCACCTCTGCGTTCTCCGGCTCTCAAGATATAGCATTGCCAACGTCTGTATCGCGCAACACGTCGGTAATTGTCTTTACAGGCATTTCTAATCGATCGAATGGCGTCTCCAGGCTCAGTTTGATGGAGCAATGTTATACAGGCCTAGCACAGGTGTTCTCCTGGCTAAGAACCCTTACAAAGCACTGACGGTTGCCTACTATACGCTTGCTCGGGCCACCTCGATCCTTGATGGTATCTGAAGCTGCCATATCCTGCGTCTCGTAAATCAAATGGGAAAATATGGTGTTGGAACAACGAGCAGACCAGTTAAGATCTTACCTTATCCCCCTGTGTGGCTCAATGTTTTCGGCCCTATTGCTCATTCACTAGGGCACGGCACGATGGCAAGAGAGATGTAACTAAAGAGGAGCCAAGGAAAGGCACGCTGATGTCCATTCCAGACACTCGGGGGCTCGCCGATGCGAAGCAAGAAGGTTCCGATACTTATCATGAATTCGTGAAATTTGTACACGCCTACTACACAGAAGATACACCTCATTCATCTACCCGTCAATCGGACACCTATACTCCCTTGCGTGCGCCTCCACTCGGCTCTTTCCCTCAACGTCCGGTCGGGCCTGGTAGGCATCCAAACAGCTCTGATGATAAATATGTCTGCAAGCCAGCACGACTAAGGGTCCTAGCGGTTGCTCTGGCGGCTTCGTCTTCGCGTCATCCGCACCACTCGTGACTTTGTCCGTACCGTCTTCGGCTGGATGTTGCGATGTCACAGGTGCCGCTTTACCTTTGCCTTTTGAGTCCCCCGCGGTCTGGGACGTATCGCTCGAGCTTCCAGCCTTGCCCGTGTCCCCTGCGGTCATTTGCGATTTTCTCTCCGCCCTCAGCTCTTCATCCCGCGCTTGCTTCTCCTCCCAGGCCTCGAAAACATTGCCCGAAACACCCGGACCCCATATGCGGCGACTGCAAGCTTCGCATGTCGAGCCTCTAGGTCGCCAACCACGTTGTCGCAGTTCCACTGCCTGCTTGACGTTGACGAACAAACTTCGCTCAAGCAATCGGTTGGATAGCCGAAGTATTGATTCCTCATAGGCATATGCCGAAAAGATTGAAGCTAGGACAGAACGCAGGTCTGCTAAATTTGGCGAAGAGGCCGCGGCTCGGGTGAGGAAGGATCGTAGGATACGCAGAAAAGACAAATTGCTTCCGGCATTGGTAAGCAGTCGGCCGCTCGCCTGAGCTCCGGTAGGATTCGAGGTCGTTGTTAGAAGCGCAGTAAAAGTGTGCTGTACCAGAAACCGCAAAAGTGCCAAGAGCTTCTCCTTGTCCAGACCGCCCGGTGCGTCGTGGGTCTCGTCTGTCCCATTGCCGTTCTTGGTACTAGTCAAGGTCTCAATAGTCGCAGAAAGTTGTCGAGTAGTCTGCACGGCTGCATCGATCAGGCTGAGCCAGAGTTCTTCGTCTGGTGATAGCGTTTGCGTGGTGGACTTTGATTTTCTTTGAACGCCATTCACCTTCCTCGACGACTTGGTTTGGCCCTGGCAAAGCCAGATACCCACATGGACGTACTTTTGAAGTGCCCGTAGAGTCTCCTCCGCCCCTGACTGCATTCCAACGGTTTCTTCCTTTTGAGCGCCCGTCAGGATGCCTTGCAAGGCTGACTCAAGAGTACCAATGTGCTTCACAAGTCTTTCCATAGCATCCTTGACCTGGCCCTCGCGAGCCATCAATACAACTGCAGCATCGATGACACCAGTCTCTTCCATGGCCGGAAGCAGGACATCGAGTCTGAGATTGACAGACTGAACCAACCCGATGTAGTCGGAAACATGAGACGGATCGTATTTGCACATGAGCTGTACGTAGCGTTCGATGAGAACCCGATCTGGGTTCGTCGGAGACTCGCCGTCTTGCTTTTCGGGCTCGAGCAATGTTTTGAGGTAAAAGAACTGTATCCCCGGAGCGTCTTCGACAGAGTCGAGAACATGCTGATGAATGTCAACCGACTGAGCTGACAGAGCTTTCGCGGCTTGGAGAGGGTCCGTTTCGAGCAAGGCCCTGGCGTTGTTCTTGATTGCGTCTAGGACTTCTTGAACCTGGCGACGGTCCAGACCACTCTGTGGCCGTAGACAGTCCCCGATGCATTCAAAGACGGCGTCCCGGTCAGCGGGGTCTTCGAAATAAGTCTGGACAAGCTTGCCATACTGTTTGTCAACCTTGTATTGCCTCTTTAGAATCCGGTAGAACCCAGCCTTCTTGAACATGGGGATTAACGCGTTGACGTCGGGAGGCTGGTATATTGACAGGAGGTATTCGGCGCTGAGCTGTGCGTCTTCGGATAGATCTGCTCCAGGATAGTTGCACAGTCCCGTTAAGACCTTTGTAAGAATTGACCCGGGGAATAATAAGTATTGGGGAAACTTGGGAAGGTTGCGGGCGATGAACATATCGAGATAGATAATGTCCTCTGCGGCGAAGTCTGAGGGGTTCATGATCTCCAGGAGGATAGAGACTATATATTGGCGATCAACAGTGCGACCAAAGATTTGCTCTTCGGGCACATCGCCCCTGAAGCCGCCGTTAACTTGCTTCTCAGGCGAGTCGTTGAGGAATGAATCTTCAAAGGCCTCGTTGACGGCGCTCAAGAAGCTTGGGGCGTCGAACTTCAAAATCAGTCTCAGATACGGGAAGGACGGTTCGGTATGCTGGTCTGGTCGTGTAAGGAACCGCCGATCGCTGCCCTTTGGCCAGATGACGCTGTTTCCTGAAAACAGAAACCAGTATATCTCAGCTTTAGCTTTCGAGGCAATTGCATCATCCATAACTTCTCCAGTGGGGTATACTCTGCCAGTCAACGTGTAGGAGAGGTAAGGGAACATCTTCAAAGCGTTCACGCCATATATCTCGTCTTCCACATTCCCGGAAGACATGTAGTCACCATTGCCCATGATAGGTACCAGCAAGGTTAGCAGGTCGATCAGTGGCGTAATGTAGTCGTCCAGCGCTTGGTTCCAGACGTAAATCAGCGCATCGTAAAGGCCATGCTGCTTGCACAATAAGGTAATCTGGTCCAAGTCCAAAGTCATAGTGTCCATGTGAACAATCATCTCCTCAAGACGGCTCTCCCATCCCTTGGTGACATAATGTGTTACCGTGGCCTTGATAACGGCTGGGGGTACGACGGTGATTTGTTTCTCAAGGATATAAGGCTCCATGGTTTCGAAGAAGATGCCCTCCACGCCGGCGTCTTCATACCACTCGTACATCTCTTCAAAGAGGAAGTCGATATCGCCAACGCTATGAGAGGCAGTAAAGCAGGTCTCAGCCAGCTCCCGCAGATGACTGTCGTCAGCAGAAGTTCTGTCTTTCTGCCGCTGCGTGAAAGCGTACTTGAGGGATGCTCTCATGATCTCCATAAGCTTATCGCGCACCATCGAATGTCGCAAGCCGGTGTCTTCAGGCAAGCCAATGGTAAGCTTATCAGCATCACCCGTGTAGTAGGATGTGCCGAGCTGTATGGCTCCGATGTAATCACCATTCTCCATGAGAGCAATGATTCGATCGGCCCAATTTGACAATGACCCGATGGAGACATCGTTGAACCCAAGAAGGAAAATTTTGCCTTTGTAGGTCTTGAAGCTCATATTAAACGCATCAGCCACGACGCCATGCATGGATGTATCGTCCTCATCCAACTGCTCCACCAGACTATGCAGCTGTTTCGAGAAGAGATCGGCGTGGTAGATGAATTTGTTGATCAGATCGAAACTCTCGGTCATGCGCATGGTTCGATCCTCCAGCACAACCAAGCGCTGTGTGATGGTCAGCACAGCAAGGACCGAACGGCTGAGCCACTGGACCGCAACGATGGCCTCTTCGCACTTCCATCTACTCCGTGCCTTGAACTTCAGCGTCGGAGGTTTGTCCTTGTTCTCGGCCGGTATCTCGTCAACGTCGAGGACAGTCAAAACGTCCGACCAACAGTAAACCAGTTTGGCTTTGGAGATGTCGCTTCCTGTGGCTGAATCTGGGACCTTGAGCTTGACCGCGGGGAACCATGCTAAACAGCCGGTCATCGCGCCGTGGTGAGCAACGTCCTTCGGTCTGGCCGACTTGTGCTGGGTCTGGGCTATGGGTGTCGTAGATACGATGACCAAAAGGTAAGGGGTGAGCATCGCCGTAAGACCCATGGTGTCAGTTGCGCGTTCAGTGTTGCCCAGAGGCAAAGAGCCGAATGCCAGAACTGTACTGGGTTTGAGAGCCTTGCTTGTAGGAGGTGCAGCATTCGGATACCTTCCAAGGATCCTGGTTGTTTTCACGGTGCGGCCAAGGGATCCCGTTCCTCGCGTAGCCAGGTGTGAGAACGCCATACCGCGGTCGTCCGCCGACACGAGCGCCGTGTGTCTTGTCCCGAGAAATCCGAGATGAGTAACAGCAACGTTGGGAAGGTGGCCGTCCATGGTCCGATTCAGGACTTGCGCTTGATCCAGATGCGGTATGTGCAAGAACGGTCTTGATGCGCGGTTCGCCTCCCAGGTGAAGATGCTTCCGTTTGCATGGCCACCAGCGATCGTGGTGTGGTCTGCCGAAATCGCTATCGCCGTGATGGCGCCGCATTCAACTGCTTTGGTACCGGGCCCGATAATGGTTTTCAAAACCTGGCTGTAATCAAACATTAATATTATGCCCTTGCTAGTCCCAAGTACAATTGAAGCAGAGACAGCAATGCAGGTGGGTGTTCCAAAGTTGCGCTTGCCAGCCTCTGAGAAGGCCTGGCCATTGAGCTTTCTTAATCTCGTCCATCGTACGACTTCCCATGGCGGGGTGGGTGTATCAGTGTCATCACGGTCCAACAGACCCGAGCTGAGGGATGCAGAACGGCTGTGGCCGGTGAGGAAGGCGGGGGAAGAGGATCGTGGGCTGTGGATAAAGCCGGAGGAGATGCGAGACTGGAAGCGGCGGTCAAAGGGTCGGAATGAGGGGCTTGGGCTGCTGAGGCCTGGTCGAGAGGCCACGGATGGGAGGACACTGCTGCTCGGAGAAGAGATTACGGAGCCCTGGGTCCTAGGTCAGCTAATGTCTCTTTATCTGTTCAAGGCTTTACTTGCCTGGATAGACGGGGAATCATCAGGAATTGACATCAGGGAATCGATCGGGCTCCCCGCCCGCTTCGGGGCTGCATCTACCGAGCCCTCCTCAGAAACATCGTCAGCTTGTTCGCGCAAAATGTCGCGATATCGGTTGGGAACGGCGCCGTTCTCAATTGCTGGTGGCGTGCTGCTGGATATCTGGGTCTCGTCATCCAAGAGGCCGGCAATGCCGTCTTCCTCCTTCTCAGCCTTTACAGTCTCTTCGTCGCCGAAAGCTGGTTTCCCCACGGAGGGCCTGTCGTCTTGATCTGCCATGGCGTCTCCAGGTCCATCGTCTCTCTTTGTCGATGGTGGGGTCATCAATGGCGGTTCATAAGGCACATGGCTTGCGGTCGCAGTCGGGTTGGACGGAGAGTTCGGTTTGGGTTCGGAAGCTTTAATGGATGCTTTTGGTAGGGAGAGTGTATAGGAATGGACTTCTTTAGTAGGAAGCACAAGTTGGAAACGGGGAACTTTGTACGGATGCGAAGGTCTCTTGGTGATACGCGCTTCTAAAGCTCCTATCAGATGAATGTGAGCTGCAACATTAACAGGCATTCAGTTGCAGTCTGCAAGAGCGCACGCATTACGCAGCTTAACACACAGCCCACACCAACTGGGCGCACCTTGCAGTTCCAGGTTCCAGGTTCCAACAACCCAAAGCTCAGGCACGGACCGGTGTTTTTCCGAAGAGCCTGTCTGATTGTCCCAAGCACTAATTACTAGACCGGACCTCTAAAACTTACATCAGAGGCATACGCTCCAGTGTCTTGTATCCGCAGCTACACCCGACACGCATCCATGCGCATTGCGCCAACCCCAGGTCGTACAATAATAAATAACCCTTGTGATCCCTGATCAACGCACTCACTTTGACATTTCAAACCCGAAGCCTTCATTATGTCTTCAATTGGTCCTCAAATGCCACCGCATCTCGTAAAGAGAAAGCGCACCCCAGATGACGAAGGCGAAGACTCACCACCGACAAAACAATCGCGCAACACCGACGAGATTGACCTAGAAGATGACTCCGATGACGACAGCTTCGGTCCTAGTGCCCATGGAAGAGCAGCAGAAGCCACAGCAGCCTCGAAGCCCTCCCCGTCATTAAAACCTTCCATCGGCCCAAATCTCCCCCCCTCCAACCCAACAAATACCAGCGAAATTCCTCTCGACGACTCCGATTCTGAAGATGGTTGTGGCCCCTCTGCTCCCCGCGTTACATCAACAGCAGAAGCTCCGAAACGCAAGCCCGCAATAGGACCGACTCCACCGCCCAAACAAATGATAGGCCCAGCGATGCCACCACCTCCAGACCACCGTGGCGCCGATGAGAACGGTAACAGCTCCTCGGATTCCGATGACGATTATGGCCCTGCCCTCCCGTCTTCTACAACATCCGCCCAACGAGCCCAGGCTGCGGCGGCCGCAGCAGCGTCCCAAGCCTCTGCAAGTTCCGTGGCGCCTCAACGCGACGACTGGATGCTCGCACCCCCCACGCAATCAGGCTACCACGAACGCGATCCGACAAAGCTCAAGAACCGCAAATTCGGAAGCGGCAAGTCTTCCGGCGCGGGCGGCATCAGCAGCATATGGACTGAGACGCCGGAGCAGAAACGCAAGCGTCTGGAGGATGCTGTGCTCGGCCGCGGAGATGCGACCGACGCGGCAGGCCCTCAGCAGCCGCGCCGTACAAAGGAAGAGGAGGAGCGTGACAGGCGCATCAGCGAGAACATCGCAACGGCACGTGGTCGCAGCATGTACGAAGAACATCAGCAAAGCAAGAAAGGAGGTGTGAAGCAGGGTAAGGACGAAGAGGAGGAAGACGACCCAAGCAAGAGAGCCTTCGATCGGGAGAAGGACATGTCCCTGGGAGGCAAAATTGGAACAGCACAGAGGAGGGAGCTGCTCAATCGAGCCAAAGACTTTGGTGGTCGTTTTCAGAAGGGGTCGTACCTTTGATACCCATTTACATGATGCCGGAAATTTATGTCTGCATTAGTATCCACCGCAGGCGTGGCCGATATCCTAGTATTCTCTCGTGGTAGGCCGGTGTTCGCCGTGAACACTATGGAAAGCACGTCATAGCCCTGAGATGCACCAGCGGTTTGTGTTTCTTGTCAATTGTCATTATTCCGTGACGAGTGATGCCTATATCGCCGCAACTCCGCCGCTCCCCTTGTAATTCGAGAGAAACCAAACCAAGCCACCACCTAGTGCAGTCACGCAAATCCTTCTCTGCCGTACCGCAACAGAATCTCCCACCGTCCTCTTTTATTGCATATGGCTTCATCCTCTCGACGGGTGTATGTATGTGTGGGTATGAGAAGTGGCATCGTGTAGCATATATAATGCAGCAAAAATCGCAGGCCTTTGCTAAGATCTGCATATCCGTCTTTGGGGTATGGATGATGTACACGGGCAACACAGCAGTAAAAAAGAAAATATAAGATCGAAATCACCTTTGCGGATGGTATTTATCAACGCGGTCACCGTGTCTCAGTAGTGGTGACAGCAGGTGCAGTTTGCGTACCGGCCTCAAGCTGAGATGGCGTGACATGAGCGCCAGTAGCTGTCGGGCTACCAGGCTGTTGGTTGTCACCACGTCGAAGGGGGTTGCGGAATGCAGGCAATCTGATGTTGGCTAGGAGCCCGCGAGACTCCTGATTCTCCGCAACAGGCGATGATGCCTGTTGGGCAGTCTGGGGAGAGGATGCAGGCGTATTCTGCTGACGGGCGCGATGGCGACGGTCGGAACGGCTGCTAGCTGTCCGATTGCCTCTGCGGCGTCCAAAAACAATGTTATTGCCGGTCAGGTTGTACCAGGCAGTTGGAGGGGCATTGGGCATGTTGGCGCGGGATGCTGAACGGCCCATCTCGCCAGTAGCGCTCGGGTCACCTTCGCCAGGGGTTGGGCGAGGCTTTGGGGTGTAGTAGTCCGCCTTGCAGAGAGGACAACAGGCTCTGCGGCTGGTAAGCCATGGATCGACGCAGACGGCATGGAAGGCGTGACCACAAGTTAGTCCGCGGATATCATCGTCATCCTCCAAGGTGTCAATGCAAATAGCGCAAGTATCGCCACTGGTTGCCATCAGTTCAGGGGGGACAGCGGCGTTGATGTGCTCATCGTCTTCCTCGTCATCATCGTCGCTATGGACACGCTGAAGATGAGTCGCAGAAGTAGGGGTGGTTTGCGGGGCGTCAGCATGGCCAGCTGTTGTTGAAGTATCGCCGTCTTTCTTTGTTGCATCTTCGGAAGTCTTTTCGGAGGCAGCGGGTTTGTTGCCGGTCCCAGTGGTAGGGCGATCATCTGTAGACTCGCGTTCTTTAGAAGGCAGCTCGGGAACGATACCGTCGGCAGATCGAACACTATTTGCACGGCTAGGCGGAGCGGACACGCCTCCGGCAGTAGGCAGGCCTTCTCTCGCACGTTCGCCAACCCATGTCTTGTACTTGGTCATGGGGAACTTGTCGTTGACCTCGTCCATTGTCATCAACTTCTTCTCACGGCGACGACGATGCGGGCGAGGCATATTTTCGAGGTTTATGGGCTCTCCATCTTCGTTGAGACGCATGGCACGATTGCGTGCATTGTAGCGGAAGCAGTATTTGACTCCAACGATGATCCTGATGCAGATGTTAGATGCTTGATAATACACAGGCAGGATTGGGCAAGTTGCTGACCATAGGTTGGTGAAGACAACTCCGAAACCTAGGGCAACGAAAAAGAGCAACGGGGAACTCGAGTTACCGCCGCCACCGCCTCCGCCTCCTCCGCCTCCATTCCCTCCTCCATTACCTGAGTTGCCGGTCGGGCTTGGGTTGTCGGTGACCGTCTCGGTGGAAGACGGGACTTCGCCGAGGGTCGATGTAGGTGCCGCAGTTTGTGGAAGGGATGAGGCTGACTCCGTGACTTGACGCACCACGAAGCGGGAAACCTCGACCAGAACCTGATCAATGACAGCCATTTTGACGGCAGGCTCGCGATGGTCCAAAATCAATACCGAGTCCGAGCGATCGGAGACAGGCAAGGGAGGGGAAAAGCCGAGCACCAACGGTGGGTGATGCCGAAGAATTGACTCACGGTCGGAAGAAAGTCGAGGTCATGGAGGAGCGAGTTGGGTGTCGTAGGGAAGGAAAGTCTGCCACGAGTTGAAACCAAGAAGCCGAAAACAGTGGTTCTGGACGGAAATGGTTGACCTGAACCCCCGGTCGCATGCGGTATGGAATGGAGACAGGGTCGCTAGTAAATGAAAGATCCCTCTCGGAGCGATTTTGGTTGGTACTGGATTTGTCGTGATCCCAGTTCTACTCTGAGCCTGAATGGCGTCGTCGGTAGAAGGGGTTGAAACAGGAAAGAAATCACGACACGATGTCGGATGGGGGTTGGTGGAAGGGTTGACAAAAGCAGGCAAGAGATTGCGGAGTGAGGGAAAGTGCAGGTGGAGTGGGATAAGTATGATGGATCAGGACGTGGAACTCTGACGGACAGCAACACAGCCCCAGTCAATAGAAAAGTGGGTACGCAAGACGGCGGGCGGGTAAGTGCGAAGGACACTGAGCAGGAAGAGCAAGAAGGACCTAGTCACCGACCCCAGCCCCCAGACACCCAAACCAGCAAAGTGCAGAATGGAAGGAGCAACCAGTAAGTAGAGAAGCAGAGCCAGCGACAGCAGGCGCAGCCACTAGGTGCGAAGTACTTTGCAGACCACCTCTACCCACTAAGACTAAGCACATCGGTAGGGAGACAGGTACCTAGTTACTGAGTAGTGTACGTATACACATACACTTTATGTGCAGCCACCAGACGCACCACATCGCAAGCTGGGAAAGAAAGACGGGGAAGGACGATGGAATGGAGCGACAGGCTGCAAGATGCAGTGGGATTGGACAGGGTCAACAAGTCAATGGATGCAAGGAGGTGGAGGGATGGAAGAGTGGGGAATTGTGCCCGGGGTGCGGGTGAAGATGAGGGTGGGTGAGGATGAAGATGAGGGTGGGTGAGGATGAGGGTGAGAGGGTATCAGAGGCGCTGGCTGAACTCACACTGTGCCACTGCGATGCCTCTGACAATTATTAACATTGATATCTCCTCTGCACAGATACGGGAGGGTAGGATAGTGTGCCGGTGCCGACGCCTCACTCAAGCCAAAAAGTACGCCTGAGAAAGGGGCAGGGTGGCAGGGTGACATGGAGACGCGACACAAATGCGTGTGCTCTCCCGCTTTCTTCCATCCGTGTGATGGGAAATGTGAGGCCAGACAGGCGCCTTGGAATTACCTAATTAGTACCTAGGTACTGTACCAACACACCTTCTGTTCCATACCAACTACAGTAGGTACAGTGCCTGGGCATCCGAGTGTCCAAGGCATCACACAGATATTGGAGCGTAGCATCTGTACGGATACAATGCCCATGTGTAGGTGACCGACAGGGACACCTCTTGGAGTCCGAGCGAGCAGTCAAGGGGCATGGACCCAAACCCTTTCTGTAACCTTACTTGGCTTGCCAGTCCCAGACTTGTCTTTTTTGAGCAAAATGGCAGCGCACTAGGGGCAATGTGAGTGGTGGGACTGAACACTCAGTCAAGTCACTGTCCTCCTTTGGGACTAGTGGCACATTTCGTTTTAAGTGTTCACAGTAGAGAGGTTGCTTGGTTGCTATCGCTGGGGGGGATGCGATGGTGGTACTACGAGATCTTAGTTTGGAAACCAAGAGGCAAAATAAATAAAGAAGGAAGACAGACAGGAGAAGAAAGAGCGAAGCGGGAAGGAATGGGACAGCCAGGATACAGGTAATGGGGAGACTTGGACTTTCATCAAAACATCGGTTTACACGTCCTGACGTTTTCGAGGTGCGAGGTGCGCAAACAAGAGGTACATGCAGTATAGTATGTATGTAGGTAGCAAGGATTGGGCGCACGTATATATCTGTACGGATACAGAGTACATATCTACAAGTATGTGTAGCACGATATACAGGTCAGTCCCAAGCGCTTGCTTGGCTGGGCCAGAGATTGACTGCAATGTGGTCTGTGGCCTCCCCACGGTGCGTTCCATCTCTACTTTCTCTCTATGTCATCCACACTCGGCAGTGTCTACAGTTTACATTTACGTGCCCCTTGCTAGACAACCTAGCTTTGTGGTATATCTCGGCCAGCATGTCTCTTCTTTGTCGTCGTCGTCATTTGCCGGGAGACGAATACACTGTATCATCAACCACAAACCCTATCCTGGTGAAAATCGTCTCAGGTCAAGGGGCACAACTGATGCCAATCTGATACCCACGCTACCTACAGAAGTATCACAGTATACTGCTACGATAACAAGCTGACAAGTGGCACCTAGAGAGGCGGTACGAATACCCGCGTAGCCTCCATCCAAGGCGGGTCGGCGCCCGCACAAACCGTGTCAGCAACATTGGGCCAATACTGGCCGGACTTGCCGCGTGCTTCACGGGGTCCTTCCCTTGCCGATATGGTGAATGGCTAAGGTATCAAAGCTTCCAGTTCCTTTACTTCCCCCCCTCGTCGTCGCTTGACTTCGTATCCCTGTTTCCACTCCCTCGGGCCAGAACTGAATTATCGACGGTATCTTACAGCATGGATGGCCCCTCATTCGCCCATCTACAACAGTATCTCAAAATCGAATCTTCTTTGTTTATCCTTTTGTCCTCCCCTTCCCGACCATCGGCCGCCACCGCCGCCGCCAGCCGTTAGCCATCCCCGGTACCACAATCCGATGCGTTGGTGAACACCCAAGGGAAGCATAAGAAGGGTAGGTTTGCGGTGCTAGGCGGAAGACGGCATGGCCGCGGCACCACGCACTTGCAGGAGTCCAGCAAAGGAAGAAGCAAGCACCGAGCGGCGGCCTGACACCTGAAGCAAGTCCGGCGTGGGTGGGGCAAACCGGCTTGGTTGTGTCGCGTTTCTCACCGACTGCTTGCCCGAGTTCAACTCCTCA